AATAAGACTTAAAATAACTAGAAGTAATACTCCTTGCCCTCTAGGAACTTATAGTCTAAATGAGGTATATTTAGTTAGGGCCGTCTGAGTTACAAGTGTCAGAAATCAAACTAAAACTTGCATAGGCATAAAAATGGAATCTGGGTTATATACTGCAGCATCCAGGATAATATTGGCTTCAGGTGCAGCTGCATCCAGGCACTCAGGTAAGCCTCCCTCAGTATTGGTTTTATTCTCAGGCAGGTTTTCCTGTAAGTCCCATTTTCTCAGTTACTCTGGCAGAGAAGAGCCTCTTTCCTAATAGTTCCAGCAAGAACCCTAGCTGATGCTCATTGGGCAGGCCTGGGTCACATGTCCATCCCTGAACCTGTTACTGTAGCTCTGATTGGCCAGGTCTGGGTCATGTGCTTCTCCTTGGAGGCGAGCGCAGCTCCACCTGACCCTCATGGACTGAGAGTAGAGTCAGGTGTTTCCCAAAGAAAACTCAAGGTGCTGCTCACGGAAGAGCGGGCTGTGGATGCCAGCAGGAGAGCTTCAGATGCTGAGCATGTGAGCGGAGGCAGATGTGCGTAATACAATGAAGGAACACTTACAAATTAACACTTAATAAACAATTCAATGTAAGCAAGTGTTTTCTATGTGCCCAGCACTGTGCTACCTACAAGAAAGGATGGAGGGGAAGAGGTGCTTGGTTTTAAAGAGATCATGGGGCAGCCTGGTGGGGTCAGAGGCAGGTGTGGAAGGCTGGAGAGGAGCCCAACACATACATGTATCCTATAACTCCCAGCAGTACACAATTCTGGCTGTACATCAAACTACCTAGAGCTTTTTTTTTTTTGAGACAGAGTCTCACTTTGTTGCCCAGGCTACAGTGCCGTGGCGTCAGCCTAGCTCACAGCAACCTCAAACTCCTGGGCTCAAGCGATCCTCCTGCCTTAGCCTCCCAAGTAGCTGGGACTAAAGGCATGTGCCACCATGCCCGGCTAATTTTTTCTATATATATATTGTTGGCCAATGAATTCATTTCTATTTATAGTAGAGACGGCATCTTGCTTTTGCTCAGGCTGGTTTCGAACTCCTGACCTCAAGCAATACCGCCCTCCTCAGCCTCCCAGAGTACTAGGATTACAGGCGTGAGCCACCGCGCACGGCCTACTTAGAGCTTTTAAATAGATCAATGACAAGACCTCTCCTGAGGTTCTGATTTCACTGGACTTGAGTTTGGCTCAAGCTCCTATGTTTTAAAAAAAACCAAAAAACTCTTATCTGGTGATCCTAATGAACAGCTGTGGTTAAGGACTACAACCCATAGGAAAAATATCCAAATGCCTTTTGCTGAATGTGTAAGGCTGTTGTGATTTTACCTTAATTTATTTAGTACCATATTCTTGGATGGGAAAATGTGAAAATTATGGAAGTCAGTTAAAATTACTTTTTGTACTCTTCCAAGGGAATTATGTTTTGGCAAGAATTCATTCTGACAAGACAGTTTTACAAATAATACTTTCGCTGTGTCCACACTGAGATGTTTAAGAAAAATATCTGAATGCACGTATTTCTTGTTCTGCTTCCAGAGGATATTTCTCAAAGCAGAAAGTGAAGAAGAGATTTTTGCACATCTGGGATTGGATTACATTGAACCGTGGGAAAGAAATGCCTAGGAAAAAGTCGACATTTTTTCCCATTCTCTTCAGGTTAAATAAATTAAGCTTCATATTAGTATTATGAAAGATGCCTCAGGAGAGTTCGAGCTTCTTTAGGTCTTATTGAAACACAGATTGCTACTAGAAATAAATAGCTTTATTACTAGTATACGGAGAATTTAAAAAGAAGAAATAAATAGCTTTAGAAACATGGTAAGGCATCACCTGGTGATGGGTTATGTTGTGATATTTGTACGACCGCTGCATAGAATTCACAATGTATTTTTCAGCAGAAATGGTGTTGTCATTGGTGGCTTAAACGAGGAATCTAATCAAAGCCCACTTTTCCCACATTGTAGCTGAAGTACTGGTATCTCCAATAAAAATAGGAGGAAACAAGATGATTGAGTCTTTTTTTTCTTTACTCAAATGTTATAAAACATTTTAAATCACAAACATAACTAAGTGGAAGAATAAAACATTTACAGTTTATCATGAGAGGACGAACAGGTTTAATTAGAATATTCCAGAGGGGATTTTGGAGCTTGTGAGGTGACTCTTGACTGGTGCAGCTCGACTCAAAGCCTGTCCCTCCCCGGCCACCATCTACCTGGGTCCGCAGGCGTCCCAGCTCAGGGCCATGTAAGGGACGTGTTTTCACTGCTTTCATTGGGAAAGAAGTGCAATTTCCTAAACCACCAAAGAAATACCTCCCTCTTTTGTCCATCTTGGAGCCTGCCTCTCTGGACTTAGTGGCTCAGTTTCTCTCATGAAGACAATCACTCTTGGCCTCTTCATCTCAGGCACCCGTGGAAGGGAGGCAGCCTTTGGAACTCACAGGCCCCGCACCCCTTCTCACCTCTTGCTTTCTCGAGGAAGGCACAGACTCTACTCTCTGAAGGAGCCGAACAGGCCATCTGATCCAGTTTCTCTGGTGTCCTCAGCTTAATAAACATTTAGGAAAAATAAGTCTTTCCACCTGTAAAGTCAGGAGCTGAGAAGAATCATGGAGGGGACAGAAGTTCCTGCTAATGGGAGTAAGAAACAGGGAGGCAGAAGGGGGAGAAGTAAAGAAAGTAAGCCTTGCTTTACTTTGCAAGGTTTTGGAAAATCAAAGGTAGAATGTTTGAACCGGGTAGATGTAACCTTAGAGACAGATCAATTCAAACACCAGGTGACACAGGAGGAAATGAGACCGAACACATTGTGCAACCTGCCTGAGGTCACCCTTAACTTAGCAGCAGCCCTGGGTGTGGGAACCAGAGGTGCTGACTTCTGATCTCAGCATCTTTCTAACAACACTGGGCTACCCTTCGTGAAGGACTGGACATCTTGCAGTGTGGCTGAGAAAGTGTCGGTACCGGGGATGTCCCTGGGATGCTCTTGGTTCCAAGGCCAGGGCCAATGTTTTATTACAAGCAAAGAAAAGCCACAGACATTTTGTAGGTTCATAAGAATGGCCGTTTAACTTTTCACTTTATTACAAAATAAGTTCCTGTGCATCATAGCAGAAATAAATGACAGAAATACTGAACCTTGCTAGTTTAATAGAAACAGTTTGAAATAAAGATTCTAAGCAATGGATTGTAAGTAGAATTAAAATAAGTGATCCAACTACAAGTCATACCTTACTTTATAGGTTACAAGACTTATTCATATTTCAATCCAGCTTCACAACCCACGGTGTGGGGTAGGAGGATGAGAACTGCCATCTCCACTTGACAAGCATAGAGCTGAGGCTCTAAGTGCCCAGCAATCTGCAGTAGGGCTGACACCTATAAGCATCAAAGCCAAGGCCACAGCTGAGTTCTCAGAAAATCCGGTGTTCTTCCTGGCATGCAAGGGAAGCAGAAGCAACAAGATCTCTGGGCACATCTGTTTAAACAGAGCCAGATCTGCTTGCCAAGGTGACTGGACTTGGCAAGTCCAGTCTGGACTTGCCCAGCGGACTTGGCACAAAAGTGAATTTCACAAGGGGCTTTGAAGAGCAGGTGTTGGCATGTGACGAAGTTTGGGTTCCAGTGTTCCAGAGCAGAAGTATCATAATGTCTTATGTTAAAAATTAGGCAAAATGGCCGGGTGCTGTGGCTCACGCCTGTAATCCTAGCTCTTGGGAGGCCGAGGCGGGCGGATTGCTCAAGGTCAGGAGTTCAAAACCAGCCTGAGCAAGAGCGAGACCCCGTCTCTACTATAAATAGAAAGAAATTAATTGGCCAACTGATATATATATAAAAAAAAAAAATTAGCCGGGCATGGTGGCGCATGCCTGTAGTCCCAGCTACTCGGGAGGCTGAGGCAGAAGGATCACTCAAGCCCAGGAGTTTGAGGTTGCTGTGAGCTAGGCTGACGCCACGGCACTCACTCTAGCCTGGACAACAAAGTGAGACTCTAAAAAAAAAAAAAAAAAAAAAAAAAATTAGGCAAAATGCTTCATTATAAAGAAAAAATATCATATGTCATTTTAATGTCAAACATGGATCTCCATCATCATCTTGAAGGTTAAATGTAACACCAAAGTCTTTGTATTGGTAATTTGGAACTTGCAAGAGCCTGGGTTTTCCTGGTTTATACAAGGACAGGGTCATCTAGATTGGAAGATTCACAGACTACTAGCAACCCTTAGAATCATCTTTAAATGTCAATAATTTGGATTTCAGGCCATGGAGAAAGTTTTCCATAGATGGTCCCTTGGTGACCCTATGACCATGGGTAACAAATGCTGGTGATTAGCTCTTCCACTTTATCAGACAAACAATATGGGAAGAGGTAGGAGGAAGGGGGTAGGGAGAGAGAACTAACATTTTGAGTGCCTACTAAGTGGCAAGCACTTCCCTTTATTTCCTATTGAATCTTTTTGATAAGGCAAGTGATATTATCTTCTTTTTTACAAAACAAAAAACTGAGGCTTAGAGGGGTGAAACAACTTCTCCAGAGCCATACACCTGCTCAGAGATAGGTCTGACTTACTTACGGCCATATTCTTTCCACTGCTATACAACATGATTGAGCTATGTGCTACCCTGTGGTCAAGGAATGTGTGGGTCCATGTGATTTCTACCCTGAGATATTCAGAAATAAGTAACAGCTTCCTCTCACACATCCCCCATAAGTTTCATTTATCCCAACTTGTACCAGGCTAATCTTGGCCAACACTCCCATGAAAGTCATGTCTGATGGCTTTTTTGCGAAAGGGATATGAAAAATGATGAGAAGGCAAGACACTCAGAAAAAAAAGCCCTTTTCTTAAAATCACAAAGAAAAGCAAATTCCCTCTGGGGTCAGTAACAGGACCTGAGGGCTCCATCTGGATGCACAGTGAACTCTCCTGGTGGGTCATTGTGTATTAAACCACAAAATTTGAGCTGTCCCCTAAAGAGACAAATCAATCCACAAGTGTTCCAGATCTGTAAGTGAAACTTGGATTGGTTAAGAAGTAAGGTGGCCTCTCTCCTCTCCAAGTACAAATTCCTGGGTTTTCAGCCTGTCTCAGCTCCAGGTCTTCTCCTGGACTGAGCCACCTCATTCTAGGCTCAGCCTGGGCACAAGCCACCACAGTCCCCTCCTTCTCTCCATTTCCACAGTAGGACGGTAAGGGTCATGCATGGGCTCCTCTCTTCCTGCTACTGTCTTCACATATATGTGGGCTTCTTGTGCTCCCATTGTGTTCTTCTCATGTGTTGGTGATCTCCTAGGATTCTTGAGAAAACAAATAGGTTTTTTAAAAATACAGCTGAGACTTCTGCTTTTGGCCAAGATGAAGTAATAGCAACCACATTTGCCCACCCACCTGAAACAACCAAAGCTCAGACAAAAATGTTTGAAATAACAGTTTTCAAGACACTAGACAACAGGCAGGGAAGGACAATGATCATTGAAAAACAGAAAACAAAGGAGGAGCGGCCTACAATTGCCTGAGCTTACTGCCTTGGTAGAGTTTTCAGGCTATTCATCTCTCTTTTGTTTAATGTTAACATGGTAGGTATTTCTTTTCCCATCCTTTAATTTTAATCTATTCATGTCTTTATATTTAAAATGGGTTTTTGTAGGCATCATATAATTGGATCGTGCTTATATCACCAATCTTAATGTCTCTGCTTTTTAATTGGGATGTTTAGACCTTTTACATTTAATATGATTATTGATATGGTTGGGTTTAAATCTACCATCTGGCTGTATTCTACCATCTGGCTATATTCTACCATCTGGCTTTGTATTCTATTCTGTCTGTTCATTGTTTCTTTTCAAATATTTTTCCACCTTATTCCATATAGATTTTAGAAATACTTTATTAAGTTTTATGAAAAAAAATCTATTGGGATTTATATTGGAAATACATTTATTATATAGGTCAGTTTGTGGTTGTTGGACATCTTTATGTTATTGAGTCTTCCTACCAGGGAGCATGGTATATAATTTAATATTTTAATATTATTTAATTTATTTTTTAATTATTTAATTTATTTTTTAAATTATTTAATTTATTTTTTATTTAATTTAATTTATTTTACTAAAGATTTATTATTTTCCATAAAGATATTACATATTTTATTAAATTGACTTCTCAAGATTCTACATATCTTTATTACCACTATAAAGTGGTAAATTTTAAAATTACTTTTTCTAGTTATTATTGATGAGGAATGTAAATTACTTTTGTATATTGATTTTTGTATCCAGTAAACTTGTTAAAATATCTTGTTAATTCTAATAATTTACCTGTAGGTTATTTGGCTTTGCTATGTAGACAAACATATCATCTGCAAATAATGACAATTTTTTTTCTTCGTTTTTAATCTTAATGCTTTCTATTTCTTTTTCTTATCCTGATACATTGACTAAGACCTAAAGTATAAATACTGAATAGAGTGATATTAGTTAACTTCCTTGTATTATTTCTGATCTTTAAGAGAATGGTTTCAGCATTTTATCCTTTGGTAAGATATTTGCTATAATTTTTTCCAAAAGATATCTTTCAAGTTAAGGAAGTTTCTATTCTATTTTTCGTTTGCTAAGAGTTCATACCACAAATGACTATTAACATTTTTTAACTCTCTTCTCCTATTGAAGTGGTCATATGATTTTTCTCTTTTAATTTTTCAGTGAAATAAATTATATCCAATTGATTTTCTAATATTAAATCAACCTCAATTTCTGTTCAGCCAATAAAAACACACTGAGAATCTCTTTTGAGCTTTCACTTCACTTGATCATCTCCTTCCCATGTGTGCTCACACTGTATTTCTTTTACGCATGAAAGGCTTTAAAACTCTTAGCTTGTTTACTGTGTGGATGATCCATAGAGATTATAACCAAGAGTTCTTACCTCAGATATCTTGGGACTTTCATCGATTTCTGAAATTTCACATGGTCTTTCACTTTCCTAAATTGTTTTTTAAAAAAAGAAAGGAAAAGAAGTAAAGGGTTACAGCGTTTCACTATAACCATGATAAAATCAGTGATTCTTAAACATGAGTGCACATTAGAACACACAAAACAAAATAAACACACAAACAGCTAATAACTCCCCCCTTCCCCATAAAAAACCCCAAAACAAAACCAAGAAATGTCATTGTGAGTTACTTCAAAAATAATCCAAGGTGAGAGTAGAAATTAGAGAAGATTGGTCATGAGTTGATATTAATAATTGGGTTCATTATACTATTCTCTCTATTTTAGTATATATTTTAAATTATTCATAATAAACAGTTTTCTCCAAAAAAAAAAAAAAAAAAGGATCAATGCCACAGCTCTGTTGTCCAGAAATTCTGATTTAATTGATTGTGGTGATTGGTATTTTTTTTAACTCCTAGATAATTTTAAAGTGCACTAAAAGTTGAGAAACTAGTACTTAAATAAATAATACCACCACCCACCACAATACTGCTTAATGTTTTTAAAGTTTATAACTTGTCAACGTATCTTTACATGTGATGTGAAGATGTAAAGATGTTCATCATTCCTGGTCTCATTCCATCAACGATGCTGCCGACCTCTTAAAATAGGGAGGGCGGTTTTTATGACTTCTGTTTTGGAGCTGAACTAACCGAGGCATAGAAAATGTTAAGTCACTTGTCCAGGATCATATATTAATAAATCATAAAGTGGCAGAGTCAGGATTAGAACCTTGATTTTCTGTTTCTTCACTAATGCCTACCACCGTGAGAACAACTATGAATGTTCACAAATAGAGAATGGAATTGGAACCCAGAGTCCACATGACACAGTTGTATCACAACCATGGAACCTTGTTGGACATTGGTCTTGGTGGCCTTTGAATTCTGAGCACGGTCCCCAGAGCAATGTGGCATTTGGTGGGGGCTGAGGGTGCGATGGATGTACATTCCCTTGTGAATTATGCATGTTCAGATGTGGGCAAAGGGCAAAGACAAATAGAGCCACATACTTCTCAACATATCATACCCTGACCCCAGGCACCTCAGCACCTTTTCATCTCCCATCTTTCCTAACATGATCTCCATCCTCCCTTTGTGAAACTTGTGCCCCTTTGTTTCTCAACTTTAGAAAACACACCCATTGTACAGACTGTTTGCTATGGCAAAAGAAACATCCCTCTCTGCTGCTCCTTTTTGCCAGGCCAAATACCATCCTTATTGCCAGGATTTCCTCAACTGACCTGAGGGTTTATGCCAAATCTGCCTGGTGCTTAATGTCATGTTTGAGATGGAAATTAAAGCCCAGAAACTTCTACCATCTTGTCCTCAGGAAATAGACATGGGCTCTGAATTCTTACACCCTTAGCCTCAAAGTCAGTTCACTGAAATACTGATCCCTGCTTCCAGATCCAGACCCAAAGAAGTTGGCAATCACCTCCATGGACTCAATGCTACTTCTTCTTCGCTGGATCCAAGTAAACAGCAAAGCCACCAGCAGGGCTGTGGCCACGATGGACGGGATGCCTGCCGCCAACCCGAGAGATGGCCCACAGTCCTGGCACCGAGAGAAAAGCAGAGTCAGGGGAAGCCCTGATGCTTCAAGAATAAAGGAAAAATTCAATAGATTTGAATCTATTGAAGCCATCTGGCATGGACCATAAATGTCATATACAATATCAAAAGGGTAATGAAATAATGTGAAAAAATGTTTGTAACATACATGGGAAATGACGTGTTTTCATGGGCCTTAATTGATACAGTTCAAATCAATTGGAAAGGCAATAATCCAGGGGGGAAATGGGCCAAGGATGTGAACAGGCATTGTTAGGGACAGAAACACAAATGCCTCCTCAACACAGGAAAATCTGAGATACGGTTCAGACCAACAGTTAGATACCAGTTTCACCCATCAGATTGCAAACAGTAAAAGCTTTTATTATATACCATACCATGTTGGTGTGAATTTTTAAAAGTTTACTTACACTGCATACATTAACCAATTGAGTTTCAAATTCCCATTTTGCTTTGATCTGAGTGGAAATAGCCATTTTCAGATTTGCAGATTATCTAGAAATATTGAAAACAATCTGCACAATTCCTATAAATGTGTAACTCACATAATTCTGGTTTCTCCTTCACAAGGAGAATTGAAGGCTGAAAAAAGTATATGAATCATAAACATAGAGGTTGATGACTTTCCCTGTGGGGAACACACCCATGTGACCCACACCCAGATCTAGATTCGGAACATTACAGCAGCCCAGAAGCCCCTCGGATACCCTCAGTCTCCGTGCGTGACCGCTATCCTGAAATCTACCACTGTGAATTCATTCTGTCTGTTTTTCAACATCATATAGATGCACATAAGGTATGTACTCCTTCGTGTCTGGCTCAACACTTTGCGAAAGCCTCCGTGATTTTGTACGTTCTCACTTTCGAGCTAAAGTGGTCACAAGAATAGCTGTTGAGCCAGGCTCTGGCTCAGCTCGGCTACAGTTCACCTATCAAACTTTAATCCTCACGGCAAATGCACGAGATGGACAGAGCATTTTTATCCTCCTTTTATAAATGACCAAACTGAGGCTCAGTAAGTTAAGTGACACACTTACCACTTCTTTCCCACCCGTGACAACAGGAGAGGAAGTCTGCGTGGAAAAAGAACATGCATTGCAAAAGAACGAGATTATACTAGAGTAGCATTATACAAGACAGCCTGTCAAAGGTTAGGCTATAGAGCCTGAAGTTTACCCCTTCACTAAACTTTCCGTTAACAACAACAACTGCCAAGTAGAACCTTACTTGATTGCTCCCCAGCTATGAATTGGAATAGAATTTGGCTACAAGGAGAAAGAATTGAGAAATTCAAGTGATGTCCTTATTATTCACACTGTGGGTTTTCCATTCTGTCTCCAGATTACAGAAATCTGCTTAGGGTGGTTTTGACCAAAGGGGGGGAGGATTAACTCTAAGGATGTAGGGGTGCCCTATGGAGCCTCAGGGCAGGTGGGAAGCTGGCTTCTCCAGGGACCAGAGCTAGGGATGGGGAATTTGTCAGGACCAAAGCCACCGGCCTCTCCCTGTGTCTCCAGGGCAGCGTGGCCTTGGCCTTCCGCCTATGCTCTTCTCTGCCTATTTGCTTCCCCTCTCTCTTTCTCTCTCTCTCTCTCTGTCTGTCTCTCTCTCTCTCTCTGTCTCTCTCTCTCTGTCTCTCTGTCTCTTTTTTCCCCTCTCCCTTCTCCCCCTCCCTGTCTCTCCTACCTTCATGAACACCTACCAGTTGTACCAGCTAACACTGTGGAGCATTTGGTATATGCCAGGCTGTTCAAGCACTTTTCCCATAATGACTCATTTATTTTTCTCAACACCTTGTGAAAGTCTCTGTGATTTTACGTGTTCTCACTTTTGAGCTAAGTTGGTCATAAGAATAATTGTTGAAGAGAAAGTGAAGCAGGACTGCAACGATCTCCATTTTACAGATGAGAAGAGTGAGGCCTAGAGTAGTGAAGTATCATGTGCAAGGTCACACAGCCCTAGGTGGCAGACCCCAATCCATATGGCTCCAGGATGGATGCTCTTAACCACCGAGCTGCCCTGCCTCCACGCCCTGGTACGGCATCCAACCCAGTGTTTCCCTTGACAGTTCAGTACAGCCCAGCAGGGACTGACTTGCATAGGTGGCTCCGTTCCAAACTCCTTACAGAGCGGCTCTGATCCAGGTATCCCCTACTCCCCTACTTCCCAGTGGTGTTATTTTCTTTTAATAACCATGCAACTTTTCAGAAAAATTTGGCACAGCCAAACCCACTAAAAAACTGGGCTAGGAAAATACCTTGCTCAGCCACAACAGCACTACTGCTTAGAAAACAACCCTGCTGTTAGTGCTTTTCTCTACACAATATTAGAACGGAAATGGAAGATGAACTGTGGGTTTAAACTGTACACCATCAGCAGCTGAAAATCTCTAATTTTATTTGCAACTAAATGCCATGCCATGATCAAGAGCCTTAAAATGTTCATTCTTGCTGTCCCAACAATTTCACTTCTAGAGTATATACTAAGGAAATAGTCTTAAATGCAGACAAGGATTATCTATTAATATAATGGCATTTATCACAAAAGTATTCCTAATTATAATTAAAGCAATAATTCACTTGAAGAAATATATGCAACCATCCTCAATTATGGTTATAAAGACTGGTGGAAAACACTTATGATATAAAATTGTATGCAGAGTAAGAACACAATAGTACAAAGACAACAAAAGTCAAAATTTATGCAAAGTCAAACAGGACAGAAATGGGTTACACCAGTGTTTTCTGCTGATGGGAATTTAGAGTTTCGTATTTTTCTTCTTTTTTCCTTTTCCTATAAGTTTTATAATTGGAAAAAATTTCTCTTAGCACCCCTCAACTGTTCCTAAGTGCCTTTGAAAGACGGTGTAACTGATCTCCATGCGACAGGCTTATGTGACGGAGTCCTGGAGGCCCCCTGTGAATTCTGCACGGTCAGGGACTCACCTGGTGAGCGGGGGCGGCTATACTTACCGTGTTCCCTGGCAGCGTGAAGTTCAGTGAAAAGCTCTGCAAGAGAGAAGGAAATGTGCAAGCTCCCTCCCCCTCCCCCAAACTCACCAGTCCTGGGGATCCCAGGAGAGTCCTTGATCCCAGAGGCTCAACCAGCCCCAGTCTTCGTCCCCAGTCTTGGTCCCAGAGGAGGGAGGGGAGCAAAGGAGCCTGAGGTCCTGAGTACCCCCTCAGCATCAAGTCAGTCCTCCTCCTCTCCCCTTGGCCCGCTGAGGGGCCAGCCAGCCAGGCTATTTCCTGAGGGCCCTGGTCCACGAGGGCAGCAAAACCATTACTAGAAATTCAGCAAAGCACTGAAAATTATTTTTTTCTCCCCCAGAACTCCTTTCAGGGAGAGAGCTATGTGAATACTTTGTACTTTTTGTACAATACAAATACTTTGTACTTTTTGCTTGGAGCAGAAGGTAAGACCCGCAAGGGGCATGGTCTAACTAGAACTCCTAACCCCTCGATCACCTTCCTAGGAGAGTGAACCCAAGGAGACGAGGCCCCTGCTGAGTCCGAGGCAGGAGCTCTAGGCCGGAGCTGACCCTTCTCAGCTCTCCCCTCACTCAGCAGCCAGTCTCGCCTCCCCCCAAATACGGAGTCAATATGTGAAGATCGCGGGCTCAGTGGGGCACCGGATAGCCTGCCCATATGCCCACTTATCTGGGCCAGGCCTGCCCAGCACCCGGGTGGCTCCTTTCTCCTCCCTGTCCCCATCCCATCACCACAGTTTGGCCTTGTCATGCCAGTCTTTCCAGGCCGCTCCTTGCCAAGTCCCTTGCCCGCCTAGACGGGAGCAGTGGGCGGGGTGTGGGCTGACCCTTCTCTCTCCCCGTGCTGAGGTGGTCTTGTTTCCACTTTCTGGCCCCTCAGCCCTTGGGCCCAGTCACCCCTGATTAATGCCCCCCCACTAGCTCTCCTTTAGCCCCAGCCCCCGACCCCAAGGTTCACCCCACTCTACAGCTCCTCCTCCCACTGCCTCCCAGGACCAAGTTCTGTTGTTACAGAAGCAATGTGTTTGCTGAGTTTTAAAATTAAATATTATCCGACAATAGGAATCTCAGGAAGGACAAAAGAATCATAGTATTTCACACCTGGATTACCTCAAAGATCATCTACCTCAAAACCCTCATTTTACAGAAAAGGAAATCAAGACCCAGAGACGCATCAGCAATTAGCTCATGGACAGATGAGAACAGTTAGAGCCCTTGTAAGGCAGGACTCCCAAATGGCTCTGTCCTTGTGACTTACAGCCAACCTGAACGATGGTCCCAACATAGGCCAGATTGATGAAATGCCTATTTTAGCTGACTCACTGGTGGATTGGGATTCAGACGGGTTAGCAAATGAGAAAATCCTGTGAACCAAGTGTTTTAAGCACCTGCAATGCCTAATTTCCCCTGGAGCCTGTCCCAAAGAATACGTCCCTCGATTCTGTTGGCCCCATCAGCCCCACGCCGCAGTGGGGACTCTGCTCCCGTCTGTCTCTTGGCAATCCTGCGCCCACATGTCAGAGAGAATCATCCAAGGCTCAAGGATTTGAATGGGTTGCCCAAGTTCACACTTGTTAGCTGTCACCAGGACCTGGGCCTTCTGGTGACGACCTCTTTCCACCACTCCAGGAGGCTGCCGAACAACTCCTGGGTTTCTGTGGATGAAGCAGAGTGCCCAGACTCACAGCACTAAGCCCCTCTTCTTCTGGGGTGCTGTTGGAACAAGAGGGACATCTAGGCCTCTTAGGTCAGGGTCCTCTTGCTCAAGGGATGTCACCACTGCCCTTCATGCCAACACCAGCCAAGCCGACAGGTGCTGCAAGGGACTGAACGCAGCCTCCCAGAGCCCTGTGTCATCTGTGGGCACTGGGCACTGATGTCAGCAGGCCCAAGACAAAGCTGCCTTTGGGAGGACGGCAGCAACAAGCGGGCCATTGCACGCGCTGTTTATCAACATCTGGATGACGAAGATTTTGGCCGATTTCAGAAAAACATTCATATTTTGTAGAAACACAGTACAGTGCTCTCATGGAGAGAAAAACATTACGTAAATTGGGACGGAGAAGAATCCGACGCAGTGCCCTTCCGAGACGCAGCTGGGTGGGGTGAGGCAACCCTGGGCTTGGAGCCACCAGATCTCAGCTCAAGTCCAGACTCACCCGCTTAGTAGCTGCGTGGTCTTAGATAAGTCACTCAGACTCTCTGGTCTCCATTTCCCCACAACAAATCTATTCTCCCGGGCTCAGTTTTCCCATCCTCAAAATGGGATGCTCTTAACTTGCCCTGCCCACTTCACGGGATGAGCACCAAGGAAATATTGTCATGTCGGTGGCAGCTCCTTCCAAAAGCTAAAATACTCCGGACGTACGGGGACAATCACATGGCATCACATTCTTCGTGGCCTGGCCAGCACAGTGTAGACATAGGGGGGCTACCTGGGAAGTTCTCGTGGGATGCAATTGCAAGCATGCATTAGCAATAGTCGAAGTAGCAGAATTTGATACAATACACACTGCTAATTGCCAGTCTGACACTACATAATACCTACATACTGATCCTGAAAGCACTTCGGGATCTCAGCAGCTGCGTGCCACTTGTGACAAGTGTGCAATTTGTGAGGGTAAGGGGAGAGAGGGCATAAAAACTCACTGTTACTGAGGGTGTGCTGTGTATCAGACACCTGCTCATAACTCCCCCAGGAGGGGAGACCATTGTCCTGACATCAAGGCCGTTTCTATGGTCAAGATAGGCTTCTAAAGGTCACCAGCTCCTAAGTGGTAGACACCAGGTTAGATCACAGATCTTTCTAACTCCAAAGCTTGAATTCAACTCCTTTCAATAATCGTTTTTAAAAAGATTCCACGCGTAAGTGAGATCACACATTATTTTTCTTTGTGTCAGGCTTATTTCATGTAGCATAATGTCCTCCAGGACTAAAGAGGGCAAATGTGGCAGGTGGCAGGGGCTCCTCCTTTTGTAAGGCTGATATTCCATGGTATCTATATACACCACGGATTCTTTACCCACTTGTCCACTGACGGACACCCAGGATGTTTCTGGAATCCTTTAATAAAGCAATCACAGAAGCCTCCACTGTCTTCCCTTTTAACTTAGCAAACTTCATTTCATTGAGTCATAACCACATGCATGTCACAAGTCAGTGAGAAAGGTGGAATGTTTCTGATGCAATTATGAGCATCGATGTTGCTAATAATGCAGCCAAAAACAGATGAAACAGACACGAAAGATGAAAGCATCGATCAGACCCATTGCTTCAACTAGAAAATGAACATAGCTAAAACGTCTACTCTGTGCCCTTGTTGTATGTGGGAGTTTAAAAACAAAACCTTAATATCAAAATAAAAGATGAGATTAGCAAATATTAGAAGAGAAATTTTAAAAAATAATTAGTATTTTGCATATAGGAAAACAATGGAAAGCCAAGCTCCTTGACTTCATTATACTGAGAGCACAGTTGCATTTGATTGCTTTAGGGGACATGAGCTGCAGAAGCCTGGAACTGTCTGTTACAGAGAGAAGTGAAGGTTAGGCTGAGAGGAGATGCCAGCTCTCACTCACCATTTCTGACAGCCTCCCAGGAACCTTCTCCAAACACTGTCCTTGGCAAGTTCTTTCTCACTGGTGTTATGGGCTTGTGTCGCCCCTTTGTAGGAACATCCAGCTGGGAGAGCTGGGGAGGCAGGGTGAGAGGTGGCTCCAAGAGAGCCCTGGCCGAGCCATGTATGGTCAGGGGAGTAGCCAAGTCCTCAGCCTGTCTCTCAAGGAAGATGGGCTGCTGCAAACGGCCCGGGTCACCCACCCTCTTTGCCTTCATTTTCCGCCCTTCTTACTTTTCACACTGCTTTCTTGGCCATGTCTCCATCCCAGCAAAGAAGCCACAGCTGGCCTGAGAGCTTGGGGGCTTCTGCAGCCTGCAGCTCTTTGGAAACAATGGGTTACACACGTCTGAGGCTGGCCACTCTGTCCCCAGCTGACAGTGTCCACATTAACCACGTCCCTGACCAGGATGGAGTCAACACGTTACCAGCATCAACAGCTAGGGTGCCTGGCGGAGGGTGTGGGGGTCCGTCCTGAGTGTGAGGTCCCCTTCCAGCTGCCACGGGGACAGCACACTCACTGGCCGGTGAGCTGCCGGGTGGGAGTTCAGCCTCACCCATCTCTGTTCTCACAGTTTGAGACCCCCAGAGCTGCAGCGAGCTGTGGACACAGGCTGCTCTGTCTGTGTCTTAGATTTCTCAGTTAAGAATCTGCTTCTTTAAGACAATGAATAAGTTGCCAACAAAACAACAGAATGAAACCAATAATTCGTTCATTTAAGTGAAAGCCACTCTGAAAAGAGCAAGCAGGGGTGTCAGGAGAGAGTGACTGCTTTAGGTGACTCTGGGGGGTGGCGTTTAAGCTGCACATGGAAGATGAGAAGAGGGCAGACCTGGGAGGGGCTGAGGGGAGGGCGTCCCGGCCAGGGCACAGGGAAGGCACAGCTGGGAGGGGGGGGACACAGACCAGGGAGTGACCCAGAAGGGGCTAAGGGCAGAGTGAGTTCGGGCCCTTTTGCTGCGCCAGGGCAGGGCGTGGTGCCGTTTTCATGCTTAGAGCAACAGGAAGGCGTTCGAGGGTTTTGAGCGGGAGAGAGGCATGATCTAAGGCGGATGTCACGGATCACCTTGGCGTCTCTGCAGAGCGTGGATTACAGGGGAAGAGAGTGGAGCCGGCGCTGGCCACAGAGTCCAAGCGAGTGACGAGGTGGGCACGGGGAGCGGTGGCTGGGCGTGTGGCACTTGATGGCAGAAGCAGGGGCCGGGGAGGGGAGAGAAGCTGAGAGAAAGAGCAGAGTAAAGCCACCTCCCAGGTCTGGGGCTTGAGGAACAGAGGAGCTGGAGACCCACTTGCTTGGGCAGGTCACACGGCTCTGGGTGTGGGACCCAGAGCTCCGTTTCTGCTCCTGAGTGGCCCGTGAGCTGTCCAAGCGGAGGCACCAGGGAGGTGACTGGATAAACATCCATGACCTGTGGGTGTTTTAAAGCCACTGGTGTACGTGAGGTAGGCAGAGCGGGAGCCAGGACGGAGGTCAGGAGTACACGGACATTCAGAGTCCGGAAAGGGGGTGGAGTAGGATTCATTGCATCAAGTGCTGCTGAGGAAGTCTGGGAAGAAATCAGAGACACCATCTGGTTCCCAGTAGGGGTGTTGCAGGTGACCATGACGAGAGCACTTTAGTGGCACAGTGGCAGCCAGATTGCCTTTCATCAGGTGGGTTCTCCATCCTGGCTGCACACCTGAATCACCTGGGGGGGGTTATGAAAACTCCTGATGCCTGGGCCCCACCCCTAGAGATGGATTTAGTTGCTCAGATGGGGCAGGACTTCCCCAGGGGTGGTAATGAGCAGCCAGGGGTGACAGCTCCTGTTCTTGTCAGTTTCTAGACTGTGTGATTGATTGGTCACCTGTAACGTGCCCAGCACCAGGATGCTACACTGAACAAGACTATTGGCCCTTCCCTCATGGGGTTTCCCATTCCTGAGACTCCACAGTGACAGCCCAAACCAACTCTAGTGGCTCCTGAAGGTCACAGAGGTAACACCATTCAGAGAGACCTGTGGTTAAGCCAGAGCTGCCCTGCTGGAAGCTGTGTGGTCTCAGGCAAATGAAATAACTTCTTCCAGCCTCAGTCTCTTAATCTATAAAATGGGGATGATATAGTTTACAATGACTGGACTGTTAAAATCAGCACAACTGGCACAAATTATGGTTCTGACTTGGCTTGGCAGGCCTACCTGGACGAGAGAACTGGACCAAAGAACTCCAGTTCATAGCCCCAGCACCCTGTGGCGAGGCTGTCTGTGGGTGGGCAGGGCCGATGAGAACTTTGACTCTGTTTGCTGTGTGTCCATGACCGCTGACGCGCCCCTGACGGACACATTAGCTCTTTAGGAGACTTGCTGACATCCTCAGTCAAGTGGTGCCCCTGCCCAGGTGTCTGGATCAGTCATGGTTCTCTGGTCACAAGCATCAAAACTGGACTCTGTTCAGTTTTTTAGAAAGGGGAATTTATTGGTTGTGGGTAGTGGTGCTCACAGAAAGGATAAAGAGCCGGGGAACCAGGCTCTGGGACGGCAGAGGGAGGTTGCTCCCAAGGCTTCAGCAGCGGGAGCTCCTGGATAGGACCCTGGTGGTGTCCTTGCAGGGAAAGTGAACTCCAAAACATCTCAGCCTTTTTGCCCCTCTGATCAGGACTCCATCCCCAGGGAGAGGGTCTGGCTGGTCTGGCTTGGTTCATGTGCCCAAGGAGGACATGTCACCTGGCAGACAGTCCCCCCATGAGGGTCCCTCCAAGAAGCAGTTCTACAAAACATATTTGCTAAAAAAGAGGGAGTGGATGAAGTGAGTGAGCACTCCTTCTTTGGAAGTATTTGACCTGAGGATCGTATCCTTAGAAACCATAGAAGGAACGCCCTTTGTGGGTGAAAGGCTGGGGTCTCCAATGCTGAGATTCTCTGATCATTTATAATTTGCCATCATTTAAACTTCTAGAAGCCCAATCACATGGATGGTTTCCCAGGCAACAAGAAGTCAGCTTGAAAAGCTGGAGCAGTCTAGATGATAGGTGGCTGCCTTAGTCCTTTCAGGATGCTATAATAGAATTCCACAGACAGAGTAGCTTATAAACAACAGGAATTTATTTCTCACAATTCTGGGGGCTGGGAAGTCCAAGATCAAGGTGCTGGCAGACTCACTGTCTGCTGAGAGCCTGCTTTCTGGTTCATAGACAGCCACCTTCTCCTCATGTCCTCACATGGTGGAAAGGGGAGGGATCTCTCTGGGACCTCTTTTACAAGGGCACTAACCCCCCACTCACGAGGGCTCTGCCCTCATGACCTAATCACCTCCCAGAGGCCCAGCCATCACATTTGGGGTTAGGATTTCAATATATGAATTTTGTGCATACACAAACATTGTCTGTTGCAGTGGCCTTGCTCTGATTTTTAGAAAATGTCAGTAATGAAGTAATGGTGAAGTAAAATTTTAGAACAAACAGAGGATCCTGGTCATTTTCCTATCTATGACTGTCCTGTACGAGAGGCATTACTGCTGCCCACCAAACATTCTAGTTCACCTTGTTTTTAATATGAATCCAATTTGCCACATGACTTTCTTTGGCCAATGAAATGCAAGTAGATGTCATATGTCACTTCCAGGTAGTTTTAAAAGCCACTGTGTGATTTGTCACCCTTTCTATTCTTCTGCCATAAAATCCAGCAATGCTCTGATGGTGCTGCTCCATCAGCCAGGCCTGACTGGGGATGATATGGAAGAGCTTCCAGATAACCAGAAATGAACATGTAGTGTGGACAAGAAATTATCTTTCTTATATGTAAATCCCCTGAGATTTGAGAGTTGGTTGTCGTTGCAGCATAAGCTCGGGTATGCTGACTGCTATGCCAGCATTTGTCCCCTGCCAGCACTGGGGCTCGTTGTTGGGTCCAGAAGATGAACCTTGGCTGGGGATCTATGAGTAGCTGTGTGTGTGTGTGTGTGTGTGTGTGTGTGTGTGTGTGTGTGTGTGTATTACTTGTGACTGCAAATGGGCAGACAAATCATTAAATCTTGAGATTCTACATATAACACAAAACAATTCCATATGTTAAAGGATTTTGCATTGAGACCAATCTGAGTGTTTGTAAAAGCATGGTCCTGTATTACCCTTCTATAACATAATTCACAAAATCCCAAACATACCCCAAAGCCTCTTCATCTAGTCAACCTGAAAAGGGTTTCCTTTATCAAATGGAGTCCCTGCCTTGTGTTAGAAATGACCATGCCAGTCAGGGTCCCTGCAGGAGTCAAGTGATGTACTCAACTTACTATACTTAAGAAGGGATTATTAAAGGGACTACTTATAAAGATCCCTCTTGCAGGACGTGCAGTACCCCAGGGTTAGATCAGTAGCTTGTCATTCCCACCCCTAGGCCTGAAGAGGCAAATGGAAGGAGGGGCTGCCAGGGTCCAGAGAGAGAAGGGGCCGCCTCATGGGAGCTGTGGCCTCTGGTCTTGCATGCCAGATGTAGTCCTCGGGTGCACACGTGGCCAGGTGGAGTGGGGTGGAGGGGAGCTGGGGGGCAAACGGAAGGCGTCCACCACATCCGGCGCTATCACAGCAGCAGCTATCTTCACAACAATTAGATTGTCAGATTTCCAGCCTGCTTTGGTCCAAGTAAGGGGACAAGTTTAAAAGCCATCTTTAGCTTTGCTCATGACTTTCTGGGTCCAGTAGTGAACTCTGTTCTGGATCTAGGCACTTGGATGCTCACCAGAGAGAATAAGGCCATAGAGAAGGGCTTCCTCTTACTATCCTCCCCAAGTTCTTGTGGTGTTGCAGAAAATGATCGCCAAGAGGACCCATCTTATCCAAACTAGTAATACAAACCCAGAACACATCCATAAATCCACATTCTTTAATGAAAGCATCCTTTCTAGACAGAGACATATGTTAGCTGCTCTTCACGGTCTCTTTGAAACTGACATCATTTCACGAAATGTAAAATTACACAAAATAAAAAATACCCATATATTTATAGATAACACTTTAAATAGTGTTTCTCTTTTTAAAAGAAACCTTTTAGGCATCTGGGACTACCGTTCAGAAGTTCAGTTTACAACTGTAAAAACACCTGCTGACACCAAGGGAACATTTGTTCACAAACTGAACACTAACCACACCAAGAATTATTTGAAAGTTATCAAATGGACCTGATCAATGGAAAATCCCAATGGGAATCTGCTAGTTAGCAAGATTTTACAAATTATTTAAACAGGCTGAGCCACTGGTGAGTAATATGAAACTTTAGAGGGAAATAGTGAAATAGAAGTAGAGGGAAACTTTACCTTAGAGGAAAATAGAAGGAATAGTGAATTAACAGATAGCCTCATTTTCTCTGTTTGCAGAAATTCTACTAGCTACAGTTAATTCCAGATTTTCCCCTTCCCTGTGATCCAGGTTCTAACTTCTGCTAGGCCAGATCACATCAGAATTGGACCAGGCTGGACCCCAAATACTACATCAGGTGGTTTGTCCTAAGACAGTTCCCCGAACTGAAGCTGGTCTTGCAGCTCGACGTCCTCCTCAAGGCCTGCACCTAAGTAAAGGACAAAGCAGGCTGGACCACCATCCTCCACCTCTGTCAGCTGCCTTGAGGACGTATATAGGCAGGTCACTCAGCAATTGGAGGTGCCAAGGCAGGGGCCTGGGTCTTCTCTTGTGAAGCCAGCCTTGAGGTTCTTTGCAGAACCTGCATCCTGCACAAATCCCCAGAAGGGTGGGCTTCCAGAGGAAGCCCAGCCAGCCCCAACTGAATCAGACCTTGTCTTTTCTGGGAATACGTCACTCACAGAAGGCTAAATAAAGGTTCTCATAAGGGTTGCATTGTTGCAAATTGGTCGTATGGTGACAACTGTTGAAGCTGTGTCCTTTTGAAAAACGTTCACACTAAAGTGATAAAAAGAAGTGTCATTGTTTCACCAGGGCCAATGCTGAGGCAGAACGCACTGTGTTTCTGATTCCCTCCCCGTTTTCTGTGGAATTCGTTGCTCTTATTTAGATTTCTAGAGGTTGACACTCCAGAATTTTCATTTCCTTGGAGAATGACCCTTAACAGCCACTTAATGTGTCCTGATTCCAGTTTCAGCTTTGACAGACAAGATGAGACCAAATGCAAACCTCAGAAAATACAAAACTCAGAGAGAAGGAATCTGCCGGAACAGGCAGTCGGGATATGGCTGCTCCATTTACTGTGTCAACGCTCACCCTGGGCAGGGTCTGACCACCACGTGACAGTGGGGGCTGGGCTCAACCCAGGGCCAAGACAGGCCAGGACAGAGCTTGGGGAGAGCAGAGCCCAGAAGGGGACACTGGTCCTGGGAGCCCCGCACAGTAAAGCTATGACCAGCGGGAGGCGTTTGTCACACTGCATTCATTGATTAAGGCTTTGACAGCTGATCCTTTACATACATACATATATACAGACATATATTATAATTAATTATAATACTTTAATTTTTTTCTGCTTTAAGGAAAAATATTTCCATGCATTTTTTTTACCTTTCTTTGTATTATTCTAGTTTTTGCTCCCAACAATCATTTTAATTAGATAAAGTCCTCTGGTGGCATATTCTGATCTTTGAAAAATATAACTTTTAACCTTTTACAAATGCTTTGTCTAAAATGATGTTGATCCATCCCAAAGGAATTCCGGTGCTTGGGAGCTACGTTGCCTCTGACCAAAAACACTCACGCGCCGCCCTGTGTTCAACACCAACCAAACGGGACTTACGGTTTATGTAAACATTATTTAAAATTATTCCAACATAAATACTCTTTTAAAGCTAACATACCACAGCTTTTAGCTCATAATGCCCATAGATGCCTTAATGAAATGCCATTCAAAACTACCTCGCTGTTTAAATTATACCTTGAGGTGCTAAAATTATGTAAACATCATCTTCTACACTTCTCTAGAACAAGTGCCAAGTGTTGTGAATTCTGATTGCAAGTTGGCAATTGAGTAAGAGTTAATCTGAGCAAAGTTACCAATGCACTCTTTCACCCAACTGGTTACAGGAAGCTGGTCAAAGACTGACTTGCCCCACAAGGTGATGATTCTTACATAACTTATAATTAACCAGTCTTCAGCAGTGTCCACCCCACAAAAGACTTTAACTGGTCCTTCATGAGATGTCTTTGCACATCTGGCAAATGCAGTTTGAACTGGTTGTCAAGGAGTTCACCAAGGTAAATGGCTCCACAGCTGGAGGAAGAAATGTTCTTGGAAGCCTGTGGAATTCCAAGCACAGGTAGAGTCAGTGAGCGAAGAAATACCCGGATACGCCAGGTTGTTTTCTTCTCAGCAGATGGGACTCCTACCAGCAAACGTTCTGCTGACTTCATAGTGGATGCCTTTGCCCCCCTGATACAATTAGGGATGGGGAACCCCAAAGGGGCAAGGAGAGCCAATGATGCAGAGAAATGGTTTTGAGGGCTTCTAATTTCATGACAATGATCTCATACTCAAAGCTCCCCCTGTGCACGCTGCTTACTGAAATGCCCTTTTTTTGTCCTGACATCCATATTCTCAGGTTTCCTGGTTGACATGTCCCTGGCAGAGAGAAAGCAAAAGATTCTAGCCAAAGCTCTGACTCACAAATCAGCCACGGCCAAGCTTTCATCCTCAGAGACCAATATAGACAGAAGACAGCCTGAGTCCCCAGGACATGGTCACAGTGCCGGGCACCCATGGAAGCCTGTCCAGATTAGAGGAATGACCAACTCCAGGACTGGCCTTCTGCCCCATAGGAGCAAGAGACAAGGAGAATGTGTATGAACAAGCATAGCTTGAATGGTCAGTGACGTCAAACCTTAATCTTCTTCTTATAGCCAGAATCAAAAGAACATTTTCTCCTCCTTGTTGGCCAAACCTTTATGTTCTTTCAACCAAATATATACCTCCAAGACTGGCTTTTGAGTTTTTGCTTGAGAAAAATACTGTACACTGATTTAGGGCAGATTTGAAAGGTGCTATTGGAGTAAAAAACATTCTTGGTTCCTGTCTTTCAAGGTCATTAGCATTATTTCTTCATGTGCAGGGCATCCTGGAACTTGGTGCTGGTGTATCGGGCATGGAAGCCTTTCTTGTTGATGGTGTCGTCTGTGTGGAATCGAATCATGAGGGAATCCCCTGCAGAGTAGATTTCTTCTAACGGCTGGGGAAAGGAGAGAAAAAACCCAGAAGGACTTTAGTTGTGCTTGGAGTTTAGAATGAGGAGGATGGGACAGGACCTTACACAAGGGCATGGCATGGTTGGTGTTGCCATGAGGTGTCCCTGCCCCAGAGACTCTTAAAGACATCAAACCAGCTCCTTTTCAAAGGAAAGCATTGCAAATTTTGCTCTAGACAGCTTTCTGGGCATTGCTTTTCCAAAACTTATCCTAGATGTATAGCTCATATAGAATCTATCATTTATTAAATGCACCAGTAAGCCAGGCACTGCGTGCTAAACACTTCCAGATCTTATCTCATGTAAACTTTACAACAACCTATAAGGAAGGTACTGTCTCTACTGTGCACTCAAGGACACTGAGACTCATGTCCGTGCATGTAAGCAGGACCCGCGCTCAGGTCCTTTTGACTATAAAGTATGTACCATGAATCACCTAGCCCTAGGGTCTTCATTGTGATGTGTCTCCTGGGAGACCCAAAACACAGACTGTTGTTCAGGCCTGTGTCCTGTCCAAGGACAAAAAGTGGGATAGGGCTACTACATTTGCCTGAAAGATTTCGCAGCAAAACTAGGCTTCCCCACAGTTCACTGCTGGGAACTCTCCAAGCAGCTGCTCCCCACTGACCCCAACATTTGAAAGACTTTATCAAAGGCAGTGCACTGGTTAAGTCACACTTTGTCATTCTTGCTTTTTAGAAGGGTGAGGGAAGATGAAGGGAAATTATTCAAAGACACATAAATGCCAGTTCTAGTTTCTCTTTAGCGCAAGGAGCACCGACTGACTCCAAAATCTGGCCCATAGCAAAGAAGCTTGGGCGATCAGCCCTGGGGGCAAAGGAAAGGAGAGGGCAGTGCCCAGCGTGCACAGCCAGGGGGTGACCAGGACACTGTACTGGCTGGTTTCACATACTTCCACTGAGCACCAACTGTATACCAGGCCCCATGGCAGGTGCTGGAGAAACAGTGAACAAAGCAGGCCTTGCCCTGTCCTCGGGGAGTGGGCCAGGGAAGAGGCCACAATGAGAAAAGCAATACTGACTTTGAGCATAACTATTGCATCCATAGTAAAAAAATTATTCATAATTTTTACAGGCATTGGTTTTGCTTGGAGAGAACAGTGAATACAGAGGTTATAGTGAAGTATAATTAAATAATCATTTAAAAACCTGAAGGTCACATAAAAATGGGGGGAGGAGAAAACTCTTTGCAAAAATGGAGTTAAGTCCTAAAAGGAAAAGTGCTGTCCCGTAGCTGACCTCAGCCTGAGGCCCCCATGGCCTGGTCCCCGGCTGCGTCCCCCACAGCTCTCCCGTTCCCGATCCATCCAGCAGAACCAGCCTCCTGGCCGCTGCTCCCAGTGGCAGGGGCAGCTGGGACTCAATCCGAGGTGTCTGACTCCACAGCTCGAGCTTGGAATCGGCACGTTTGGTCTGGGCCCCCTCTGCCCCTCAGCGTCTCCGGGACTCACCCCAGAGCCGCAGAAGCGGCCGAGCCTGGGCGCCGAGCTGTCGTAGCCGTCGTAGGTTTCCATGTAGTCATAGCCACATTCGGCCTCCTCCTCCACCTCAAAGGTCCTGAAGATCAGCTCCACCCCGTAGCCGTCCTCCGCCACGATCACCCAGTCGCAGCGGGCCTGGCTCGGGTAGTTGTTGTCCCCAAACTGGGCATGGGAATAGAGCTCTTTGGTCTGCACTTCAGCCTTCAGCCTGCCCCCGCACTCTGGAGCAGAGAGAGAAGCCAAATGGCCAGATGCTCCCTCGGCACAGCACCCAGGGGCCACCCCACCCGCGTCCCAGCCGCTCTCTCTGCAGAGCCTGGCGCGTGCGTGCCCTGCGTGAGAACCCAGGCAATCTCGTCACCCCATTCTACAGAGGAGTAAACAGAGGCCCCTGGCTCTAAGGTCGGGGATCCCTGGTTGGGGGCAGGGGCAGGGCTCCAAAGTGGCTGTTATAAGCCAAGGTGCCCTGTTCCCAGCTTGGGCCACATAAGGCCTCCGGGAATCCCTGAGCATGCTACTGATAAGAGCTGGCTGCTTTTTTTCTTTTTCCAGTTATGGAGACATGGAGCCAACGCATGGTTTGCCTGACTGGTCGCTGGGAAGTGCCTGGATTTACCACCTCACTCCCTGGAGGTGCTCCAGCATCTGAGAAGGGCTCACACCTGCTGACGGACTTACTGTAATTTACAATTTCTGCCAGCAGAGGGCGATGAACGCGCATTAGCACTGCAGGTCCCTGGAAATCGCAGGTCTGCCTGACACGCTCTTGCACTGGACAGTATTGACTATAGGCAGCTCTGAGGCTCCAACGGGTGTCACAGGTGAGCTGCTCATCAGATGGTGGGCTCAGGCTCATGTTCTATAGCCTTTGCTTCTGGGTTTTTTTACTAAGACTGTAGCCTAGGTCCTATACTATCTTATGTCTTGGCTGCTTGAGTTCACACTAAATAAAATAGATAAATGAGACTGACTGGTTTCCAAAGCCCCAGAAATTCTGGAGGCAAATTCCTGCACAGCCTGTCCCCAGTGTGCTTTGTGCCCCCGAGGGGCCAGGGCTCACCCTGGTGGGGGTTCTGTGCCATATGGTCCTAACACTCCAGGCCCTGCCCGGCTCCAGACCCGTCCAGCTGCCTGCTCTGATCGCATGTTCACTCCGGCTTAGAATTTCTTCCAGGTCTGGCCTGTCTTTGGGGAATTTCAAATTCCTGAGACGCAGGTGGCAATGAAATAAGCACCTGGAGTACCTACATTCCTGGTCTCTGCAGGGACAAGAGGGTGAAATCACTCATCAGTGGCTTTTAAGCTTCTCTGAGGGAAGCTAGGACTCCTCACGGAGCTTGAGAGGGCCCCATAAAGCATGAAGTGTTTTCTGCTCAGCAATGGCGAGCGAAACTGCCTGAGGGTGCTGGTCCCCATTTTGCTTCACCTAATGCACATGTTCCGGCTCAGAAAAAATTTGCAGGAAGGAGCTGCTAAAAGGATCTGGGGGTCCCATGATCATGATCTCAGACTTGGCATCACAGAAGTAGAGAAGTAGAGTAGCCCTCGGCAGCCACTTGCTGCCAAAGAGCCACAGTCTAATGCCAGGATCAAAGGGTCAAATTTGGTCCCGTGGGCTCCAGTCCCAGGTGGTCACGTTTAATGGCTAAAGAGCAGAGCCAATTTTCTTACTGACATTCTTCTATTTAACAAAGTAGATAATATAAGTTAAAAGCATATACATTTTCCTCCGAAGGACCCAATAGATCTAGTTACATTTTGAGTGGAGGAAAAAATAATAGGGAACAGAAACTTTTTTTTTTTTTTGAGACAGAGTCTCACTTTGTTGTCCAGGCTAGAGTGAGTGCCGTGGCATCAGCCTAGCTCACAGCAACCTCAAACTCCTGGGCTCAAGTGATCCTCCTGTCTCAGCCTCCTGAGTAGCTGGGACTACAGGCATGCGCCACCATGCCCGGCTAATTTTTTCTATATATTTTTAGTTGGCCAATTAATTTCTTTCTATTTTTAGTAGAGACAGGGTCTCGCTCTTGCTCAGGCTGGTTTCCAACTCCTGACCTTTAGCAATCCGCCCGCCTCGGCCTCCTAGAGTGCTAGGATTACAGGAGTGAGCCACCGCGCCCAACAGAGAAACATTTTTCATTTTCCAGACTGGCCCTAGAGGGATAAAAGGGCTGCTCTCCACCACTCAGCTCCCAGACTTTTAGATTTTATAGACCAATGCAAAATACATTTTTAAAAGGTAGAAAGGAAAGAAGGGAAGCAGGAAAGAAATGGGGCACCAACAAAGGGTTGCCCACTTCACGTTTTTTCATTTGAAGACTTTAAAAGAAAACAGCTCTTCTCCCTGTGGTTGCGGATGTTTCATTTTAGCAGGGACGTTGTATCACGCACCTCCTTCCCTCGCCCTCCCCCCAAGTGGAATAAAAGGCAGCCCCTGCCCGGCCTTCGCCACCTGCCTCTCCTGCCCAGGCGCTCAGCAGCGGGAGGCCAGAGGCCGCCCCGGGTACCTGTGCTGTGCAGCGCCTGGAAGCCTTTCCTCTGCACTGAGGCGTCCGAATAAAACTTGAGAAACAGGCTGCTGCCCGAAGCCACCACGGGGTCTGGCTTCTTGCTGCCGCAGAAACGGCCCAGGATGGGGGCCAGGCTGTCGGGCCCGTCGTACATTTCCAGGTGGTCATAGGCACATTCCTGGTGCTGCTCGATCTCAAACTCATTGAAGGCCTGGATGGTAGAAGAGCAGAAAGTAAGTGGAGCGGGAGAGGAAGGGGGTGAGGCAGTGCAGGGGACGTGTGGCCGTGATGACACTTGGGGACATCTGGTCTCCAAAACAACCCGGTGAGGTGGTCACGTGAGCCACAGCTGCTGTGACCACTTTGCAGATGAGACGGTGGGGGTTCAGAGAGTTTAGATGCTTGTTGACATTTGGACAGCTATTACTCGGCAGAGCTAGGCTTTGACAGCCCAAATCTGTCTTCCTTCCGTCCTAGCTCGCTGACTCTGCCTCACTTAGTACTAAGAGCCAGCAACGGCCAAGTGCTCAGTCTGTGCCAGCAAATGCTTTAAGTGCCTTGCAAGTATTGCCTCATTTAAACCTCACAACCCTGCGATGTGTCTAACCCTCACTTTATAGCTGAGGAAACTGAGGCAAGGAGATGTCAGATGACTTGCCCAAGGTCACACGCTGGCAGAGTTGGGCTGTGACCCAGCTGCTCTGGCTTCAGAGGCCCTGCACACTCCACTGGAGGACCTTCATTCAAAACGGTGTGGATGAGACTTTATGCTCTGAGTCGCATGTTTGTGGCGGCTGACATCTGTTAAGTGTTTTTTTCCATGCCAAGCATTTATGGGCATTTCCTCACTTAATTCTGGTAACACTACGAGAAAAAGGCTGCTATTTCCAATGTGCAGAGGAGGAAAGTCAGTCTTAGAGACAGACGCTCGTTGACTTGCCCAAGCTCATGCAGCTAGAGGCAGCTGACACTGAACTTGACCCCAGCCAGCCTTCTCCTGCCCGCACAGCTAACATCACCACGCTATGCTCCCTGTCCCCCCAGGACTCTCCCAGCTTCAGGGGACAGGCTTTTCAGCCCTGAATGTGGCCTTCTCAGGTGCTGGGGAGGTGACTGACTGATGCAGCCCATGGTGGCAAGTAGATGGGACAAGGTGAGGGGGACAGTGTTAGATGAAGACTTGGACCCAGTGACACAGCAGAAAGAGAGGACATGAGTTGGGGGGGGTCTCAATTCAAAAGAGGGAGGTTGGGGCGGCAGGGCAGAGATGGGGTGGGAGAAGGAACAGGGACCAGGGCAGGGCAGGCTTTCCCGGGAATACCCAACACCCGAGGTGGGCAAAGCTCTCACGCCTATGAGCAAGGAGCTCTGGGGCCAGAGTGTTGGGTGGAGAGACGGGGCAGGAGCAGGAAGGGGACAGCAGGCACACGAGGGAGGGCCATGCGACACGGGACAGCCCTGCTGCTGTCTCCATGCAGCGAAACGCCAGCTTTCTTGAATATAACACTCATGTTCCATGGTAGCCAAAAGGCAGAGCACAATCAATATATCCACCGTCCACGTCCCAAGGCAACGTCTTTTAGAAACGACACGTCTGCGTATGAACCTTCCCCTTGCGCAGGTTGTGCGCTCCCACCCCCAGGGGCGCCACTCGCCCGCGGTCCTCGGGGACTTACGTTGCCATTGCGAGCACATTCCAGCAGGTGGCAGTCGTGGAGAAGGAGTGCCTTTCCCGAACGCACTAACGCACCTGCACCCAGGTTCAAGGCTGTTCCTACTGACGCAGGACAGCGGCTCCTAGCAGAGCTACGATTCCCCCAGGGGCAGCCCATGCGTATGAGGTGCCCGCTGCGGTCAGGGGCCCTGTCCTCCCCACCCCTCGATGCCCCAGGAGCCCATGCACCTGCCTCTGCTCCTCAAGCGTGGCTCTCATGGATAACACCCCACAAGTAACCGAGCCATCCTCTATGCACCATCGCATTCTCCTTCTTTGTTCTCTTCAGCCTCCCTGAATTTTTGGTCCATAATCCACAGAGCCATTCCTACTCATCTGTGGTCAGATGACCCATTTTAAAAAATGTTTGTCTGTCTGGAATACAACAAATGCTCCAGCCGGAGAGAGGGTTTGTTTTATTCTCCTGGACCTGGGAGTCCCTGGGGGCTGAGAAATGAGACGTATTCAAGAGACTCATTTCTCCTTTGAAATAACTGAGCGTGGTGTACAGACCACACATCATATAGGCGACTTTAAATAAAGGCTTGGATTTTTTTTTTTAATTCAGGAGAGAATTACCATAAAGAACTTAGGGAAAAAAATGCAAGTTGTAAAAGAATATGAATAATAAGATTCCATTAGAATAGTTTGAGTAAGAAAAAGTACATATTTTCCCTGTGCATTTACATTCGTGATTGTATGTGCATAGAAAACTTCCTGGATGGGTTCATAAGAAAATGTTCAAAGTGGTTCTTTCTAGAGTGGGAGTGAGGAATCTGGGGACTTTTGATTTCCACTGTCCAATGTTCCATACTGGTTACATTTGTTTAATCTTGAGAATGAATTTTCTTGTAAAAAATTAAAACTGGAAACAACTGCACTTCAAACGGTGCTGCAGATCTGTGTGGTGGATGCCCTCTCGTCCTGGTCCCACTGTGAACAGGTGTCACTTACAGAGCTTTTGTGCATTCCCTCTTTTAATCTGCACAGCGGCCCACGGGGTGGGCTTCATTGGTATCCCTGTTTCCTAGCTAATGAAATCCAGAGCTGAAAATGTCAAGTAACTTCCTTCAGGTTTCAGAGCTAGGAATTGGCAGAGCAGAGACTCAAACCCCTGTCTGTCTGATGCCAAAGTCTGTGTTCTTAATACACTACAAAAATGACTCACGAGTTTCACCCTGTGGCCCGCGGTGGAAGAGATGTTCCAGGTACACTCCCTCCGGCTGGGGTATTTGTCAGGCCAGTTGGGGCTTGCCAGGGTCCCCTCCGCACTGCTGATCTTGTGTGCACAGCCAGCTGGGGTGACGAGCACAGACAGAGAGAGAAGTGATTCCCTTGTGGGCAGCACCAAAGGCATTCTCGGGGCCTCTCCTCCCGCTCTCTGAACTGTCTCAGGGTCATTAGCAAATGTGAGGGTGGGATCGGCCTGAATCGAGAGGCCCCCGGCACAGAGATGTTCACGGAGGTTTATCTGAACTGGCTTTTCTGCCTTGCTGGCTGTCATCTTTCTTACCATTATTACTAGTCACCTTGTGGTCCTCACTTGCAAATATGGTAAAGTTGGTACTAGGTGAAGAGCACAGGCCCTGGGGTTGGATGGACTTCAGTTCAAGTCCTCGTTCCACCACCTACAACCTGTGGGCCTTTGGGCCTCATGTAAGCTTTGGTGTCCTTATTTATGAAAAGGTGCCCACCTTGTAGGGGTGATGTGTGGATTAAATGAGATAGTGTATGGGAAAGGCTCAGCGAGTGGCAGGCCCATGGCAAGTGCTCAGTCCATGCGGCTGGCAAAGGTCCCCTTCATCACTGTGCCTTCTATCTACACACTGCCTCCAGTTTTTCCAAACAGTTTCGTCTGGCATCTGCCAAGCTTGTCCTGGCTGCAGTGCTATTAGCCAGGAGTGGTCCTGTGACTTGCTCAATGCCCGGTGTCTTGGCCAAAGGTTGGCGTCTGTCTTCCTGGGTGTCGGGTGCTGTGGTCGGTATTTTCCACGCATCCTCTTGTTTAGTCCTTCCCACTTTCCAAATAAGAAAATGGGTTTCGAGAGGGTAAGTGCCTTGCTGGTAGGGAGTAGGAGCCGGGACTCTAACCAGACCTGCATGGCTTTGAGGCCGGCGCTGTAACTGATTAGGAAGCACAGTGAACTGTGTAATGACCAGCGCTTGGCCAAATCTCCTAACTCCAAACTGTTTATCCCAGAGAGGGGGTGTCTTGCACATCTCCCCCCACCGTTGACTTCCTTTGCAGGGCTGCCTGGCTGGGGCCAAGGCCTGGAGGCCTCTTGTTTATCTCAGATGCTTGGACTTCCCTGGGCAGGGCAAGAACAGAGGGAAGGTTTTACCAGAATGGCCATTCAAAAAGCCAATTGGCCCTGAAGAGCTCCTAGTAGTGAATGGAGCAGGGAGCAAAGTTTCCCCAAATTCTATCTGACTATGAGACCTGCATATGGTAAACAGTATGCAACTTGGCTGATCTGTATTAACATTTGAGTGTATTGTATGTGTCAGACTGCCTGGAATACTTTCTAGGCTTCTTTTAATCCCCACAAAAACTCTCAGAAGGAGGTATGTTTAGCCTCTTTTTAACAGAAGAGGAAACCGAGACTCAGAGAGGCTAAGAAACTTGCCCAAGGTCACACAGCTAGTGAGTGGCAGAACCAGGATTTAGACCTAGGCAGTCTGCTCCCGGAGCTTGCAGGCTTGACCACTTTGCAACAGTAACTCAGCCTGGAGCTCGGGAGGCCTCTGAAAGGAGTGGGCCGCCTGGGGGAACTGCTGTCCAGCAGGAGGGCCAGAGGGAGTCCCCAGAGGACAGCAGGCGCTGAGCTTCCCTCTCAGGGTTCCCAGCTCTGCAGCGGGTGCCAGCGGGTGGCAGGGCTCCCCACCCACCCGCCCTGATGCACCCTCGGGTGTGGGGCCCGGGCAGCCGCAGGGGCAGCCTCACCCTCTTTGCAGTCCCGCTCGTTGTCGTGGAGCCGGTAGCCGTTCCTGCAGCGGCACAGGTAGCTCCCGAACGTGTTGACACACTCGTGCTGACACCCGCCGTTGTCCTCCGCACACTCATCCTTGTCTGGGGAGATCAACGGGCTCTCCTAAGAGGAAGCACCAACTCGGGCATGTCCCTCACAGCTCAGAACCCCGCTCAGAAGTGGCCTCCTCCAGGGAGCCTCCCTGACTGCCACCCTGCCCCGACTACCCCTTGCTGGGGCTGGGGGTGTCTTCCCCTCAGCTTTGTTGGGTCTCACTCGGCCTGGTGTGTGCCGACTGCCCCATGCTCCTACAGCACTCTCACGTGTGCGCGTCCTCTGCCCTGCTCCGGCCCACACTAGGAGCTCCTGCAGGACCGGCCACTGTTAACAACAACAGTATCAATAATAAAAATAACTGCCATTTATTGAGTACACACTATGGGATGGGCACTGCCCCAAGCACTTTCTGTACATTATCCAAGTTAATTCTCACCCAACCTTAGGAGGGAGGTGCCTTTATGCCCTCTTTACAGGTAAGGAAACTGAGGCTGAGAATGGCTAATGTTCCCACAGTGAGCAGTGTGGCAGACCTGCAGGCCTGGGCCCATGCCCTGCGACTCTACGCCACCTCCCGGGCGTGGCGTAGTAACTGCGTGGGCCCCAGGCCAGACCATGAGGACTAGCGCTACTCCACCACTGCCAGCTGATGTGCCTCAGTTGCCTCCCCTGTAAAATGGGGACAATATAGCATCCTTACTTCATAGAGCTGTTGGAGGAGTAAATGAATCAGTACAGGGAAAGCGCTCAGAACAGCTCCTAGCCCGTGAGCAAGTGTTAGCTTTTGTAAACATCATGACACACAAACTCAAGTGTTGGCTCTTGTCATCCTGGTCCTGTGGCTCGGGCTGGTGCCATGTGTAGCCCTCTCCCCAGCCAGCTGTCCCTGCAATAACCAAGGCTGGACCTCCCCACCTCCCCGCACTGATGACCTCAGGGGTCAGTCCTGTCTCCCTCCCCTCTCTGCACCCTCTCGCCACCGTGGTTAATGCTCTCTTGAATACTGTATGCTAGCCTCGTCCGTTTACTTCAGGAGGACAATCGAGAGCCTTCCAGAACCTTTAAACAACACAGAAGCGAGACGCTGCCTGTGCTCCAGCATGGAAGCGCTCTCCCTGCCTTCTCCCCAGTCCCTCTGCACATGGCACACAGACCCTCACCCTGCCCTCACCCTCTCCCCCTGCCTTCCTCCCAGTCCCTCTGCACATGGCACACAGACCCTCACCCTGCCCTCACCCTCTCCCCCTGCCTTCCTCCCAGTCCCTCTGCACATGGCACACAGACCCTCACCCTGCCCTCACCCTCTCCCCCTGCCTTCTCCCCAGCCCCTCTGCACATGGCACACAGACCCTCACCCTGCCCTCACTCTCTCCCCCTGCCTTCCTCCCAGTCCCTCTGCACATGGCGCACAGACCCTCACCCTGACCTCACCCTCTCCTCTGCCCTTCTTGCCCTTGCAGAAGTGGAGCCAGCCCCTCCTTCCAGCCCTTGCACCCCCTCCTCTGAGGAGGCTCCCTCCCTTGCCTGTTCCCCTGGCCCTCTGGGCTCTCCACGCCTGGCCTGGCTCTGTCCAACGAATTTCTGGGCTTCCCCTGCTCAGGAACCTGCAAACAGTCCCACTCCCTGTCCCATCAGGTCCGATTCTTCAGCCCTGCATTCGGGGCCCTTCAGAACTAGAAGTGGTGTGGCCCATCTCGCATCCTGGGCTTCCCAGCACGGGTCTTGGCTCCGCGTAGGCTGATCTCGTCTCTTGCTGTGCTCAGTAGAGACCTCAAACCTGTGGTCACACTGCCTCCCCTTCTTGGGACCTCAACTGCCTTATCTCCAGCCGTCCCGTCTCCACCTTCCCACGCCTTAAGACCTGGCTCGCACCACCATGCAGCCTGTGAAAGGGCTTTACCCACTGCTCCAGGCAACCGTGGGCTTCCCTCTTCCCCACACACTGGCCCTTGTTGCACTGTCCCACCCTGCAGTGCTCCAGGTGGGGACTTAGCAGGTGTGTGTCCCTGGCCTCCCTAGCTGGGGCATAAGCACCAGGGGCACTTCCCTGGCAGCCTCTCTGAGCTAGAACCCTGCTGTGCCCACAGCAGGCACTCAAAACAAAACAAAACGAAGCACAACATTTTCAATGAGAGCGTGCAAAAAAATCACAGAGACAGAACTCTGCATATATATAAAATAAAATAAAATAATTGGGTTGTTTCTACGCTAAGCACAGAGAATATAAAGGTAACCAAATTACAGTTTCTGCTCTTAGACAGTTCACACTCTAATACAATGTGACAGGCAGGACCTGCCACATAATTTGCAGGGCCAAGTGTAAGATGAACATGGGGGTCACTTGTTAAAGAATTAGTACGGATTTCATGACGACAACAGAGCCGAGCCTTAAACCAAGCAGGGCCCGTCGGGGCAGTCCCTGTGCTGTGACACAGGCCACACGCTCATGGAGCCGGCCTGGTGACAAGAGCCCTAACGGAAGGGAGGTAGACGGGGCTGCGGGAACTCTGAAGAAACAATTACTCTGCTAGGAGGGTGCTGTGGTTCGAATGTGTCCCCCAAAGTTCATGTGTCGGAAACTTAACCCCCAATGCGACGGTGTTGATGACAGGTGGGGCCTCTAGGAGGTGATTGGGCCATTATCCCTGGAGTGGGGTCCTTGTAAAGGATGAGTTTGGCTCCCTGTCTTTCTCTGTCACCCGTGCGACACCCCCCCTTGTTGTGGCACGGCACGAAGGACCCCATGACACGTGGCCCCCCGGTCTTGGCCTTCCCAGCTTCCGGACCCATGAGCCGAATGCACTTCTGTTCACTGTCCACGGCCCAGTCTGCGGCCCTCTGTTACAGCAGACCAAGATGGAGGGGTGAGAGGAAACCAGGGAAAGCTACAGAAAGTGGCATTTGGGGTCTTCAAGTCAAAGTCGGAGCTTTCTAAGTGGGGAAGGATGAAGGACATCCCAGGAGAGGGACCGCCGCAGCAGTGCGTGTGAAGAGAGAACAGGGTGGGGTGTGGCAGTGCAGGGCCACGGCACGGGAGGCAGTGAGGGGGTCACGGGTGACCTGAGCACAGGGCGCCTGCAGGGGAAATGTGTCCACAGGACAGCGGGAGGCAGCGTCCAGCGTCAGACACCAGCTCAGCAGAAAGGGCCTCTTCCCCCCGCTGCTGTGCTGGCCCTGACAGCTCGAGGCCCCCGGTTTGAGCACGAGGGCCACGTGTGGCTGTGAAGGGTGGAACAGTGCCTGCCCCAAACTCGTGTTCACCTGGAACCTCAGAATGTGATCTTATTTGGAAATAAGGTCTTTGCAGGAATATAAAGGATCTTGAAATGGACTCATCCTGGATTTAGACTCAGCCTTAATTCCAGCGTCTGGCATCCTCATAAGAGGACAGGACACAGAGAGGCACTGGGACAAAGGGCATGTGAAGACGGAGGCAGAGGTGGGAGTGGCGCAGCTACAAGCCAAGAAACGCCAGGATTGCTGGAATAGACCAGGGAGCACGGCCCTGCCCACGCCTGGATTTCAGACTTCTGAATTGCTACAGAACAGGTTCTGTTGTTTAAGCCAACCAGTTTGTGGTCATTTGTTATGGTGCCTAGGAAACGAATACAGCTACTAATAACAAACCCCCGGATCTAGGCACGTCCCTCCCAGGCAGCCACGCTGGGAGGGGAGCGGGCAGGAACGGGAGACCACACTGCATGGGCTTCACCTCTGAACCCACGTACCTGAGAAAAAGTGGGCCCTGAAGCCTCGTTTGGAGACGGTGTTGTCGGACTTGAACTCCACGCGCATGTTGTTGCTCTGCGAGGTGATGACCTCGGGCGTCTCGGAGCCACAGAACTTGCCGTGCAGGCTGGCGTCAGGGGACAGGCCGCTGCGCACCTCCACGAAGTCGTATTTACACACCTGCAAGGGGGCGCGGTGGAGAGCGGTCCAGGCCCCCATCCCTACCCGACCCCCAGCACACTGCTGCACCCCTTGCTGCGAGCTGCACCCCTTCCTGCGAGCTGCACCCTGCCAGGTGGCAGGTGCCCTGACTCTTATTCCTCGTTAGACTGCACTCTAGAGGGCGACAGAGGGGCCCTGATCTCCCAGCCGGGCTCCAACACCTGCATTCCCATAACTCTGTAGCCCGGCTTTTATTTATTTTATACATTGGGCTTACATGAACTTTCACTTGAAGAAAGGGCCCACTGCTAGAAGAAGAAGAACAGGTGAAGAGGAGGAGGGAGAAGAAAGGAGAGGAGGGAAGGAGGAAAAGCTTGCAAGCCACTGATATAATCCAGCTGCATCATATGTTCATGCAGAGACAAAGCTCAGAAGGGGAGAGAGGTGAGAAGTTACACAGCTCAGCAGCAGTAGAGACAGGACTAGAATCCATGTTCCCTGCTATGGCGATGATTGTTCTCAAAAAGACCTTAAATGCCAGGTGGTCTGATTTATTGCTTTGAAGGGTTGTTTTTTCTACATAAAATTCATTTTGGGGTGAGCCCCTCATTGGCACCAGGGCCTCTGAGCATTGGAGTCATTGGCATTGGGGCTTCTTTTCAGTACCCAAGATGCTAGACTGGTCATCTCAGAGCCAGGCCGGAGCTCAGCGGGGACAGCAGGGGTGTGGAGAAGGACCTGGGTGCCCCAGGGGTCTTGCCAGCCCGAGGTGCAGGTGAAGGCATCCTTGACTAGCACTCTGGCTGCAGGCGCTGCCTGGGCCTTGCCTGACGTGGTCATCCATGACCACTGGCCAAGAGAGGGAACAGGCCATCTGTAGCATCTCTGTCCCTAGCTGGTCCTCAGCCCTCCATTCCTCTCAGGGGGACACCAGCCCCCAACTCGCACCCCAGGGCAATACCAGCCCTGGCCACCTCCCACCCCAACACCTGCCTCCTCCACTCTCGTCCTGATTCTCCTTGGATTTATCAGCGACAAGAGGGCCACAGGTGCTCTAGCTGCAGGGGACGTGCAGCTGAAACGACTAGACAAAACATTCCTGCAGAGTCTTCCCAGCTAAGGTCCTGCGACCCTCGGAAGCACCAGGTCCAACACAAGCCACCTCCCTGCCTGCTGAGCCCCTCACCACTTTCCCCTCTGAGTCACATCTCCACACAGTCCCCAATCAATCAGAGCACAGAAACATACGTCATTGCCTTCCAGTTCAAACACTTCAAACTGGAGGGAGATCCGGTACTGGACGGGGGCCACCACCTGCCAGACACAGTTTTTGTTCGTGGGATACTCCTTTGGCCACCCAGGGCTGGTGATGGTTCCATTCAGCTTGGTAATGAAACCGCCACAGGCCACTGCACGGGGGAACAGAAACAAAATGCATTTGGTTTTAGTTCCAAGTGGCTGCAATTTCCCACAAGCAGCAATAAGCCCTGCTGTTCTGTAATGGCAGCAACAACAAAAAAGCTAGACAATGTGTGTCCTTTATTCTAGTCTAATAGTTTCAACTGAAGATTTGGAGGGATGACACTGGGGACCAGTCTTTACAGATGTTTAAAATAGACGATGCCTTTGTGCTTTCCTGCCACCCAGTGGCATGGCTGGGGGTGCCACGTGAATCAGACGGAAGAAGTAGAAATGTCTGCAGAAAGCTAAGGTCTGTCCCTGGCTGCAGGGACAAGCGGATTCACACAGGTGGGCAAGGAAAACAAGGCAGGTAGAAATGCAATGAACAAAGTGTGCTATCAGTTGAGTCACATGAAAGTGCTCATAGTTTCTCCTTGCTTTTATTTTCTACCTTGATAATCATGAAAATTTTACACCATCACAGAAGGTAAATCATGACCCTGATTGCAGTTTCTAGGGCAGAGTCCAAGCAATTTTGGCAGTTTGCTCACATTTATGACAGTTATCAAGCTGTTCTCTCTCTGGGAGGTAGATGGATCTTTCACCACGGCTGCCCCTTGTTCCTTTTGCTGCCCCCTCTGCCCCACGTCCCCGTGAGGCGGGTCCCACACCAACCTTCGCACGTCTTCTTATCGGCAGCCAGCTCGTAGCCTGGGTCGCAGGTGCACCTGTAGCTGCCCAGCGTGTTCACACAGCGATGCTCACACCCGCCGTGGTCTGGCCAGGAACACTCATCCACCTCTGTTGGGGAGGTGACCACGGTCAATCGTCACAAAGCTGCCCGGTCTGTTCCCAAGGCCTCCACATCCCACGGTCCCCAGCTAGCGTGCTCTCAGAACAAGAGTGACTCCTGGTGGCCACTTCCCCAGGAGCCCCATGTCTACAGCCGACAAACTGGCAGCAGCTACAGAGAAGGGCAGGACCCTAACAACGCAAGCCAGGAGACCTTGTTAGCCAGAGCAGGGCTGCTCTGGTGGGCCTCAGGCCCGGGGAATTGGATTCTTTGAGCTGTTCAGTCAGTAGTGTTCATCTGAGGTATTGAAAATCTCATAAGTTTCCGTACCAAAGACGTCATCAATTTTAATGTCACGGAATTAGGGGTTTTCCTCCATAAATATGCAACTTCTCAGAGACATTAAAAAGGGGGTAGACAAAAGGACACATTGCTAGATAAAGATATGTAAGTATTCTTTAAATATTAGAGCCAGAATCTGTTGTTTAGCATTTTTATAAATACCTTTAAGAGGTGTGCACAGGGAGATCTTTAAGGTTATAGAAAACACTGGGCCCTGTGGTTTGCCTGTGCTCCTGGGAGAAACTGCAGGAGAGCCCAGGACAAGGCTGAGTTAGTGGGGTGGGAGGGGGTGGGGCTCCATGGGATTTGGTGCCAACAAGTGTCTAGTGATTTGGAGCAATTAAATGATGGCACATAGATGCCATGGGTGCTGTCCAGAGGAAGAGCATGGGCGTCATTGGAGACTGTCCCCAGACACGTCAGCCCATATGCCCTGAAGAAAAGGAAAACCCTAGTATTGGGCATCTCTAAGAAGAGTATTAGAAACAGAAGGGAAAATACCATTGTCTGTTGCCAAGCCAGGGTACATCTGTCCCTGAAGGAGAGTGTGCAGGGTGTGGCCTAGTGGAGCTGGAGGAGTCTAGTAAAAGGACAACTAAACACTGACACATCTACACAAAAGTCCAATCTAGGAAGAAGAAAGGATGGGACGGGGGTGAGAAGGAGAGCACTGGCCTGTAGCCCCATGGCAGGTAGGAACAGAGCAAGTATGGATGGTTCACCAAAGCCTGAAAGGACACAGTACACACAGGAGAGATCAGGACATCTAAGGCTTGGTCAGGATCTGCACAGATACCAGTCTTGCCGCCTCAAGCAGGGATGCTTTTAGTCACGTTCCTGACAGATGGCTTTTCAGACCCTGCCTGAAAACTCCCAGAGACAGGACTCTCGCTACTTTTCAAAGGTATTTCTTGGGTCAAAAGTCTAAATCCTTGCAACTTCCAACCCGTTGGCCCTACAGAAAATGCAAACCCTCCACTTTTTATGTCTCCCTCTACTCTGCCCTTTTCCAACTCAGATATACCCATTTCCCTCCAATCCTCGTCTGTGATGTACAAATACCTCATCAACCTGTTTGCTCTTCACTGGGGGAAGGACGGTTTGTAAATACCACGTCATTTCACTTAGCAAGATAGCAAACTTAGGGAACTCTAGGAAGGACGTATTCTTGGGCTCAACAAAGGTTTCAATAAATTAATTGGTCATCAGGGGTAATTGGGTTCAGTAGAGATGCTCCAGGCAGGGAGATAAAGTTGCCCATGGCCTCAAATCAACATAAGTATCAAGTATGCAAAGACCCTAACAATGGTGCAATTATTTGTTCATCACCTTACAATGTGCAAAGCGCTTTCTTAGCCATTTGCTAGAAAGTATAGAAGAAAGAAAATTGATCATAAAGAGTAATGTGAAGAGTCCAGGCTTTAGAGTGAGTTTGACCTGGGTTGGATCCACCAGTGAATCTTCCCCCAACAAATCGGATGAAGACCGGGGAGCTGACCTCTCTGAGCCTCCCGCCTGTTTTCAAATGAGAACCATACTTGCTTTTAGGTTGTGGTGACCGAAAATGATGCACGTGAATTGCCCAACATATAGCCTGTCGATACACAGGAGCTATCACGACAGACCACAGTGGAGTTGCCTTTGAAATGCCAGCGGGCAGAGAGACATGGTGATGGGGGTGATGAGAAGGAGGAGGTTGGCCAGGCAGGGGTGGAATAGTGTAGGCCTGAGGAGGGGCGGGAGACAAGGCAAGAACAGAAAGGAAGAAATGCCTCAAGTCTGGGCCCGAGAAGGAAGACCGGGTGGGCGGGAGGGCAGCACGGCAGATTCGAGGCACTGGGGCTGGTCCCAGGGAGAAGGAGGGAGGAAACTGAGGGACGAGCCCATCAGAGGAGGCGAAGACAGGCAAAGGACCAAGGCAGGCGGCATCAGAGGCTCCCCCCGCCCCCTGCCTTGGGGGCAAGAAGGAGAAGCCCCCAGAGGAGCAGGTCTCTCGGTGCCCTCTCAGTGAGGTGGAGGGAGAGGGGCCAGTGGAATGGACTCAGGCCCAGAGCCAGCGGAATGTAATTCCTCCAAGGTCTAGAACTGTTTGACCCAGGAAGATGGAGGAAAGTTATACTTTTACACCTGAGCCCTCTCCAGCGAGAGCCGTGGGATGTTTGGCCATTTACAGCCCTGCCCCAGCGCGGATGGATGGCGTGGATGCCCGCCAGTGCCGCCCACGCTGCGGTACAGCGCCTCTGCTCCAAGCCCACGGGCTGGTGCTTGCTCTGCACTGCAGGGGCCAAGGCCAAGCCTCCCAGAAGAATCTGGGAGCACATGGGGGTGGGAGAAGAGGCTGGAACCAGGGCTCAGCCTAGCACAGTGCGAGCCCTGGCTCCTCGTCCTCCAGGTGGTAGTGGAGAAAGAAGGAACCATTCTGTGGGTAGGTAAAGAGACGTCTCAGGCGGGATCCCAAATAATTGTTTCAAGGAGAATGAAGGCAAGGGAAGGCCGGCACATTCCTAGGCTTGTGAAGAAGTACCTTGAAGGCAGCCAGTCCCCCAGCACACCCCGCACGGTGGCCCATCATCTCCGGGACGGTGGGATGTCGCGGGCAGGGTGGGAATCCTCACGTCCTTTACGTGGAGGGTGTGGGACCAAAATGGCCCCACCAGCCCTTGAATGTGGCCAGCGTCTCCCAAAGCAGCCAGAAGTGTAAGGTGCTCTGCTTGCTGCCGGCCAGCAGGCTCCGAGAGGAGCTGCCATCTGGCACCGGGAGAGCGTGCAGAGGCCAACGGTGCCCTGGCCAGCACCAGGCGCCAGCTGGGCCCTGTGCAGAGCCGCCTGCCAACTGGCATCACGGCAAGAGCTTCTTTGGCTTGTGCCAACTCTTCTGCAGGGCCTCCGCTGCTACTCCTCCCGCCTCTTTCCCTGGGGAAGTCCCGACACAGGCGCTGGGCACTGTGTTCGCAGGACATCCCACCGATGGCCTTGCCTGAACAAGCCTGGGCTACGGAAGCTGACCGTGCCCGGTCGCTAGACTGGCACCGTCTGACGCGGCAGCCCCAGCGCATGTGGCTGCCGAGCACGTGAGAGGTGCCCTGAGCATGAAACACTTGCAGGATTTCCAACACGTAGTATGAAAACTGCCATTAATATTGTTATGTATTGAATACATATTAAATGACATCATTTTGGATATGTGAAGTTAAATAAAATATATCATTAACATTAATTTTACCCGTTCCTTTTCTTTTGTAAGGTGGCTGCTAGAAAATTTAAGATTGCACATGCGCCTCTCGTTTGTGCCTCGCATCCTACTTCTTCTGCATGGCGCTGCCTGAGACCGTGGTCTTTCATCTCGCTCCTGCAGGAGAGCCTTGCCAGGTAGGCAGAGCAGGTAGCAGGACACCCACTCCCAATGGGGAAACTGAGCCCCATGCAATCATCCGCCCACCCATTCATTCACTGCTCAGTAAGCATTAATATTTGCTGAGCCCGCCGTGTGCCAGGCACTGGGAGTGCAGAGGAGAACAAAGCAGGTGCGGCCGGTCTCAGGAAGGAAAGCTGACCTGTCAGAGAGAGGATCGCTATGAGGAGTGCAGGACTGGCCGCAGGGCTTCAGATGACAAATCCAGAGCCCTTATTCCTACACCCCTGCGGTGTCAGGAAGGTAGAAGGGTGCCTAGTGTCAGAATCAAACCACAGACACTCAGGAAAAATTCCAACCCCTTCACTTTCCTTTCCTGTGGCTTTTGGGTCTCCTTAGCGGAAAGAGTATGGCCTGCGCAATCCTACAGATCCAGTTCTAGTTCTAGCTCTGCCACTTCAGGACTTCCCTTTCCTCTGTTTAAAAATGGGGACAAGGATAATGCCCACCCAGGGGCTGTTCTGGAGGTGAGACGACCAGTGCAGCCTCTGGCACATGGCAGCACCCGTAGACGTCTTTGCCGTCTTAGGGCTAGATGGGGATTCTGCTAGTCCTGGTCCTCCCTCGAGAGTCAGGGCCAGGGTCAAGGTTGTACTTTTCTCCTTTTCTAAACACGCTTCTCTGCAGTCCTCCTTGACATGATGATGCCAGGCCAGGTCTGTGCACTCAGTTGGTATAGGTGGGCCTCGATTAACTCCTTCCCAGGCATCTAAAAAGATGTTCGAAAATTGAAATACCCTCGAAGGAGGACACCGAGTACCCCGGGAGTCCCACGGCCTCCACTGAGGCCCGCACCCACACTCAGCAATGCCACCACCCATTTGTTTCTGTTCTTTCACCACCGTGAGCCCTTGAGGACAACCACGGCGTGCTTTCCTCACTACCCCCAGCCCCGGTACGGCGCCGACACGCGGTGTGGTGCATGCTGAATGCAGGTTACGTGGGGAGGGGGAGAAAGTGGTATCTTCTAACTGGCAAATGGAGCCAGTTACCATGGTTACTTAGAGCAGGTAAGGGCCATCACTCAGTCCCTCACAAGCCATTGCCCCAACTGACATCTCCAGTAGGGCTGCCTTAAAAAATTCAGGAGGTCCAGTTAAATTTGACTTTCAGATAAACAACTGCTAAGTGCAGTATGCAATATTTGGGAAATACAGTAAAATAATTGTTCTTTATCTGAAATTCCAATTTAACTGGGCATCCTGGTTTTTTACTTCCCAAATCTGGCAACCCTGATCTCCTGCCTCAGCCAATCCTCTTAAAAAGGTGCATTACTCATTACCTGTAAAATCAGGAATGAGGTGTGGGTGGGTCGGTAGGAACTGGCTGCCAGTTACCTTGCCGCAATGGACCCCAGCACCTAACTTGCGGACCCAGGCATGGAAGTCAGGGGAGGAGAAGGTCAGGAGAATTAGAGTAAACAGAATGCGGATAAAAACCTCATCATCACACATGACATGTGGTAGGCAGAATAAGGCCCCCCCAGAGCCGTCTACATCACAGCCTTGCAACTTGTGAACCTGTTACCTGACATGGCAAAAAAGACTCCTCAGGTGTGATTAAGTTCAGGATATTGAGATGGCAGAGTCTTCTGGATTATCTGGATGGGCCCAGTCTCGACAGGAGGGTGCATGTAAGGAAAGAGGTAGGTGGAGAGTCGGGGTCAGAAGAGGAGATGTGACAACAGGAGCATGGGTCTGTGATCAGCCTAAGAAAGACACAATCGCCATCGCTGGCTTGGAGCATGGAAGGGACCACGAGCCAAGGAACACAGGAAGCTCCTAAGAGCTGGAGAAGGCAAGGACATAGATTGTCCCCTAGAGCCTGAAGAAAGAATGCAGCCTGCCACCACCTTGACTTTAGCCCGGTAAGATCCACTTCAGGGGTCTGAACTCCTGAACTGTAAGATGATAAATCTGCGTTAAGCCACCAACTTTATGGTAATTGGTTTCAGCAGCAATAGGAGACTAATACGTTGCAATAGTAAGGAGAACTCGTCACATCATTTTCCCCAGACAGAATAATCACTTCAAAGATTCCTTTCCTAGCAATTAATGGGGCTAAATAGTACCCTAGTGTATTCACTTATACTATTTCACTTTCTTCTGACAACAACCTTGCAATAACCTGGTAGCAACATTTCTACAGGTGGAGACTGGAGCTCAGAGAAGCTGTGCAACTTGCTCAAGGCCATCCAGCCAGTGTCGCTGCTGCCAGGTCAGCCGGGGACGTCCCCAGGCTAGGAGACACCAGGCACATGTAGACTGGGCCAGGGTTGGGTAGGGGTTATGGATTTCCAGGCATCTCGACTAGGGCTGCCATATCCTTCTTCTCTGTGCAATGACAAGGTGACCTGTATTTGGAACACACTTGCTATGGCCTGGCTCTTTTTGCTTGGGAAAGACTCAACTAAGTTTCGTCTCCCATTATTCAGAACATTATGATTCCTGCTCTGTTACTGCTTGGGTTCTGCTCTGCCCCAGATGCCTCCAGACAGGAAGGAATAAGTCCCACGTCTTGTTTGGCACTTGCCAGTCTATAAGGTGCCTCTGTAGCTATCCTTTCATGGGGCTAGGTGACATGTGCAGATTTCCTGGTCCTTGTCTTGCAGGGAAGAAAACTGAGGCTTCAGCAAGGACAAATGGCCTGCTCTGGATGACACGGCTTGAAGTGGGTTCTTCTGACACCTACTCAGTTCATGTAAAAGCTAATGAAGGCTCTAAGACGGGGGCAGAGGGGAGATTGGGAGTAGGGGAGGAACAAAGATTTCCAGGTTGGCTCTGCCAGGAGTCCCAGGGCAGGAGGGAAGGAGAGAAAGCAGTCTCCCTGGGTAGCGGTGGCTGGGGCCTGGGGAAGTGGGGGTGCTAATTAAGGGCCCTCAGCTGCAGAGAACTGGACATCTCTGTTCAACGGCTGCTGCTGGACTCCTGGGTGCCCAGGTCCAAGATGTGGGGGAGCATCTGTGCTTCCCTCTTAGGGTGTGGTCTTTGGGGCTTCAAGGCCCTGAGAGCAGAGAAGGAAGATGGAAGCCCACACTTCTGGGGCTAGGTCCTCCTATGCCGTTCTGGGTCTGGATATGTCAAGACCCTACAGAGCAGCAGGTCTCCAACGCAGTATGGAGGCTTGTTCCCAGAGCACCACCCCCTTCCTCTCTTCCACACCCCGTCACTTGGGGTTAGGCATGCAGGCTGGGGGTGCTGACGCTTCAGGAGCTGCAGACCTGTCTGCTTCTCTGGCCTGCATCAAGGAATTTAAGGCCACGCTGGAAAGAGTTTGAGCTTGAGAATTTGTATGTCTTTCTTTTTTTGAGACAGCTCTGTTGCCCAGACTGGAGTGCAGTGGTGTCATCATAGCTCATTGCAACCTCAAACTCCTAAGCTCAAGCCATCCTCCTGCCTCAACCTCCCAGGGTGCTAGGATTGTAGGCATGAGCCATTGGGTTTGGATCCCTGATCTGCCACTTAACTGTCTTCGTGGTCCCGAGCAGCCCTTCTCAGCCCTGATCAAATGTGATTCAAACCTAAGTCAAAGAAAGGGTTATTTTGGGAATTAAATGGCATCATGTAAGTTAAGTGCCTTACCCAGTTCTTGGCACATAGTAGGTGCTCAATTCATGAGAGCTGCTATAATAATATTCATTGTTATCAATGCTCAGTTTCACTACAGAATAGTTTGCCCTTGTAAATTAAATCTAATTTCCAAGTGCAGAACTTCCTGCCACAGAGAAGCTGAGGCTGAGCCTGCCCCGACCAGGTGGGGACTCTGCTGGGACCTTACACTCTGCTCTCAACGGGGCCACGGCCTTTTTCCTGCAGGCAGCCTAGTTTGATGCTAAGCTTCCATATGGGTTTTCTTTGTGAGCCTTAAGCCAGGGGGAGCAATATTTCTTCTCGTGTCTAAAAGTGGAAACAAACTGCTAATTCATACCCTTGAAAAAATTGGCTGCAAAGCCTGCTTTATTGATAGAGCCATCAGACACAAACTTCATCCACAGCCTGTTGGAGCTCGACTTCACATCCTCCGGCTTCTCGTATCCACAGAAGTGGCCGATCAGGGCGCTCTCTTCCGTGGGGCCATCTCGGATTTCCAGGTAGTCATATGCACAGCTGTCGTGCCTTTCGATCTGAAGGGGAAACAGAGGCAACGTGGATGACAACAGATGGCCCAGCTGTCAGGTTTTTGATTTAAGAAGGGAACTCAAATATCGCTCTCAAAAGCTAACCAAGAGGCAAAAGGACCCAAGTGTGCCTGGGGTGTCTCCACACCGTCTTCTTCCTAGTTGCAGAAGTACAGGGTAGCTGAGAAGAGACAGGGAAGAACAAGTCCACAAAACTTCCTTGGATCCCATTCTAGATTTCCCTTCAATTATTCCCCTCAATCTCTGCATGGCCTTCAGAAGGTAGGTGAACCCAATTTCAAAGCCTACAAAGATTTTAATATGGGATGTCCTGGCACAACTCACCATGGAGTTGAAAATGGCCCCTTAGGTTCCTATTTTTAACCAAGAAATGGAAACCCATTTTTATAGAGCGGAATATGTCTAGTAAAAGTTGCCATTTACTTCATCCTTGGTAAGACAATCTGAGCAGCACTCACCTCGAAAGCTTGGAAGGTAAGTCCCACGTGAAACCCCTCCGAAACCGAAATCCTCCAGACACATTCCTTGGAAGGTCTGTAGTCATCCGGGTAGTTGGGAGATTGAATCTGACCCGCATCTTTGTTAATGTCTCCACCACATGTAGCTTTGGAAAGACAGCACAGGAGGAAGAGGGGGGTCCCTGGTCAGATCTTAGGAATTAACGAGGCGGGGGGCACTTGTCACCACTAGGTGGCTCCACTCGCCAACATTTTCATCTCCTTCCAACAAACACTGAGCCTCCAGAAAGGCACAATTGCATTGGTTTCCAACTCTGAATTTTTTTCCCTCAAAGAAAATAACCATGTAGGGCAGTGGTCCTCTACCTTCTCTGTGCACCAAAATCACCTGGGAGGTGTTCCAAACTGTGGCGGCCAGGGCCACATCCCCAGAGGTCCTGATTTAGGTGAGAGCTGGGAGCAGCGGTGAAGTTTCCCAGGAGATTCTAATGCAGACGGTAGAGGACACCCCCACGTGCACACACACACACGCATGCTCACACAGCGCACACACACATGCACACACGGTGCACACACAATGCACACACGATGCACACACACGTATGTACAACATGCATGCACACACGATACACAAACACGCATGCACACACAGTGCACATTACTTCTTTTACAAAAACAAAACTTTGGTCTCTCCAAAATGACAACACTTTAAGGCCAAAAGGGGTCTTAATAATTTTCTAGTTTCCCTTTTTTGGTGGGGTTAGGGTAGGGTGGGCAGAAGAGAAGTTCAGTACTCGGAACACACAGAAGCAGCACTGCCTGGTGGCAGCTGCCTAGAGCCTAGACCTGGAGGGTCGGTTCCCTCTGCTCAACAACCAGGGTGGCCTCAGAGCCCTTCTAAGAAATGTGGTTGGAAATTCCCTTGACGTCCAAAGTCTTCTTTTCACAAATGAAACCAACAGAGGCCCAGAGAGGTCAGAGTCTTTGCTTAGGCTCACACAGCGATTCACAGGCTGCAGTCGCCCCCCCACACACCCCACTCCTGTGTGGGGAGGGTGACTCCCCCTGGTGTGGGGGGAGGGTTCGGGGGTGGTGACAGGGACGTGGCACCAGCTCTGAGGTAAGCAGCTGGCCACCGCTTCCAGGAGGTGGGGGCGGCGGCCGGGCCTGCCCTGCGCCAGCGACCACCCTGGCAAGCGGGGTGGGAAGGAGCCGGCGGGCTGCAAGGGAAGGCCAGGGCTTCCCAGGAGCCACTCCAGCGGCTTCTCCCACCGTGAACCAACCTTCGTACACCGCGAAGAAGCCCTTGCCCAGGCTGTTGCTGCTGCTGCGGAACTCCACCCAGAGCCGGCTGGCCGTGGAGGTGAGGGGCTCCGGCACCTCGTCGCCACAGAACCTGCCTGGGAAGTGGAAGATAAATGGTCAGGACGCCGTGGGACAGCAGGAGGGCACTCAGCCCAGCCGGGGAGAGTTCGAGGTGAGCGGCAAGCCTGGCCGTGACAGCTTGTCCTGTGGCACATACGGGGTGAACAGACGTCATAGAAAGAGTCACACAGCCTTGTGCCTCGCTCAGGCTGACTTTGGGAGAGTTCCGGATTCCAGTCAATCAAAGGCCCCAGGATATGGCCCTCGTGTCCCCTCCGCTACCAAGTGGGCTGTGAGGGTATGGCAGGGTAATGTCCGAGATGGTGGTGACGGATTCTTTCCCTGGCATTTCCTGTGGCATACACGCCCTCCCCTGTGGGGACATTAGACATTCTGCTTTCCTGCCTCAGGAAGGGATGCCAGAGAACACACGACAAAGAAATCACATCTTCTTGGCGTTTGAATTTCATAAGCCCAGTCACTATACCAAAGATCTGGAAGAATGTACAATGAATAAGAGCACATTTTCCCCTGCTGGTGGTCTCAGGAGGGGACCTAGGATGGCAGGGTGAGGGGACTGGGGAGAGAAAGGATTGGAGAGAGCACCAGGGAGGCCCCCAAAAGACCTGTACCCCAATCCCACCCTGAGCTGAGATTTTGGATGGAAAAGGATGACAGAGACCCCAAGTAGGCTTAAGGATCTGGGAAAAGCAGAAAACTGCCCCAAGTCCCTTGGCAGAGCCTGGAGGGCAAATGAGACCCAGATTCCCCTGCGCCCCCTGTCCAGGGGTCAGAATAGCAGTGTCTACACGGTCTGTCCAGGGGTCAGAATAGCAGTGTCTACATGGTCTGTCCAGGCATTTGCCCATGAGACGGGCATGCAGAGCTCTTCAGGCAAAGCATGGAAGGACGGCAGCCATGTGATTCCAGGGTCCTCAGAGGGGTGTGGAAGTGACTTTCCCATAGCCCAGAGGACTGGGGATCCATAGAATATCTCCCAAGCTTCTAGGGAGATGTGGACTTGGTGCCACTCTGAACTGGCCTAGGGTTGAGACAAGGAGGAACCACAGCGGCCATTTCTCTGGACTGGGGACTGACTAGTTGAAGATGAGGACGTCCCAGCAATGCCAGTCGGGATATGGGTGCCTGCCCTGCCACCACGCCTTGGCATAACTACGCCTACCACCTGCAGCCCCCACCCCAGGGGAAGAAAACACAAGTTGAAATTAAGTTCCTACTACTTGATGTAAAAGAGGCTCATAATAGATAGAAATTTTGTTATTGAAAAAAAAATTGTATTTTTTAGACACTTTGGGTATGTGGTCTGAAATCTGGAGCCTCTACAGAGGAAAATGGCAAGGCTTGGCCTTCTCAGTACATGGTAATTCTTGGCCACCCATTTCCTAATGCTGCACAAGGGTGGCAGGCCAGGGCAAGGGCAAGGGCAGGGACGGGGCAGGGGGAGACAGGTTGAGCTTCCTACTGATCAGTTCAGCGCACAGACCAGCCAGGGCCTATGTGGACCAGTAGTCCATGGCTCTGCCAAGCACCTACTGTGTGAGTCACTCAAAGAATTTATTTAGTTCTGGGGGGAAACGGGGAATGACTACTAATGGATATGGGTTTTCTTTGGGGGAGGATGAAAATATTCTAAAATTGATGGCGGTGATGGTTACACAACCCTTGAGCATGCTAATAATCACTGAGTGGTATACTTCAAATGGTGAATTGTGAATTGTACAGTATGCAAGTTATATCTCAATATATTTTTAAAACTTGAGTGGGTACTCTCATTGCCGGTGCCATATCAGGCACGGGACAAGCCACTTGGAGCTGTAATTCTACTTTGCCCTTCTGAGAAATAGGGGAGCAGGTGAGGCCAGGGAAGGAATAAAGGCCACTGTGGACACTTCCTAATGGCCAACTGTGGCATCCATTCATCAGGGAGAAACAGGGGTGGAAGCTGCTAATCTCCTGTACTTCCTTCTCATTTTGGTCACCTGCAGCCTTTTGGATTTAGAGAGCTTAATATTAAGTGAGATGAGATAAAACTCCTGCCAAGAATTCTGCAAGGAAAAATGCAGCAGAAGCCTATAAATTTTCGGTAATGGTTCCTCTGGCGTGGCCAATTAGTGTCAATCGGCTTTCGGAAAACAGTGTGCAAGCTTGGGTGAGTGAGGAGACAGAGGAGACGGAGCGCTGAGCAGCAGTTAGACAGCGCCCATCCACAAAAGGAATTCCTCCGGAGCCCAGCCCAAGTTCCAAGTCCAAGTCTCTCCTTTTAAAACCCAGCTGTCACAGCCGCTGAGGACTGTTCCCAAAAGAGAGAGGGATTTTCACTGCCTCGCTGCATACGGATCTAACCGGATAAGATGAACCACCCACCACCCAGGGGCCACAGGACAACCCGTCTCCGCTCAGTCCCCAGGGGGAGGTAGGAATTGCAGTCAACGGTGTATCTTACTGCCTTGGCAGAGCTAGACTTGTAGAATAAATCACACAACATTCCTCAACTCTATCCCCAAATCGCTTTGTAATTCTTACTAGAACCCCCGTCTAGCGGGCTCATCTTCATCATAATGGTTCTAATAAAAGCCCCTCTTTTATTAACTATGTCTATGCCAGACACTGTCCTAAGCACTTTCCATGGACTATCTCATTTTGTCTGCTACTCCCTGAACTAGGTACTATCATTCATCTCATTCCACAGATGAGAAAGCTGAGGGTCAGAGGATTGAAGTCTCAAAGCTGCAAGTGGAAGCAGGGTTTGAACACTGGCAGTCAGAGAGTTTCATCATCAGTATTGCCGTCTTCATCACCATCACCATCGCCACCAGCACCATCAAAAGGAACTTCTCTATCTCAGGTGCAATTCTGAACATCGTGCAATTTGAGATAAAGAGACATCGTATCTGCTCTCTGGGATGTAAACATCCTTCCCATTTCCCAGTTTGGAAACAGATACATAGGAATGAAGATCAAAGCCTCAAACCGTAAAGCAAGTCTGTAGTAAGTGCCAGGCTTGGCTGTTTGACGCACTCTATCATTTCTGCTCACTTGGGAGCGAAGCTACCCCTGGCCAGGGAGCCCCAGAAGTAGGGCCACATGACACTGATTGGCCAGCCTGGCCTTTCTGAACTTCCCTCCCCAGTTCAGGGAAAGGGGCTTTTGTGTGCACTGTGGTGATACAGAATGCCAAAAGACAGTTCTGCATACAAAAGTGCATTGTTAGAGTAATTCCTCTAACAGAAATAAAGGCAGGGGCTCAAATGTACAGGACAGCATTTAAGATTGCTGGATGAGTTCTCTGTGCATCCATCTCCCTCCCTGCTTTAGGTACCATCTCATAAGGGACTCCTAAAACCGAAAAACCAATTTGATATCTTTAACCAGCCATGAAATGTTCTCAGTCTACCTACAGTTCTCTTTAATCACTATGTGAAAACCTAGGTCTCAAACAGCCTCCTTCCAAGGAGACTAAACAGGCTGGAGAGAAACCAGACTAGAGAAAAGGTGTCAGATTCCTAAACTGAAATCCAGTTCCTGGATTTAGAGGAGGAGTTTAATAAGGATATCAAGAAGAGGAAATGCAGATGAGGACACTACAAGTGGTCTCCATGGGGAGTCATAAAGAGTTCATTCATAAAAAGTTATGTGTCCATTATGCCTGGATTTTCACACACTGCCCTGGGAAAAAATGCAATGCACAGTTTTCAGAGCAAGATGCATACTTTCACAATCCGCCCTAATCCGCTCTCCCTCCTGCCAAAGGGGCATTGACCTGCCTCCTCCCAGCAGATTTCATGGCACTGACCCCTCCCAGGGACCAGCTCAGCGACACAATGCACTTGTTCCAAACACAAAAGTTCACTAACAACTGCATTTGGAAACATCAGAGCAGGCCAAATAGTTGGCAAAGGAGAACTCCTGCAAATGAAGAATGACGGTTACAGGCGCTGGGCCATGGCTTGGCTGCAACACACTGCGCGCGCGCGCACACACACACACACACACACACACACCACACACACACACACACACCACACACACCACATGCTGCAAAGTGGTTAAAACTCGAGCCAAAAAAACACCAAAACAAAACAAAAACCCAAACCATCATCACCAAGAATGAACGACAAAAGTCCTATCTCATTAATGAAAGTGCAACCGGAGATACCAGGATCTGCAGTGAGAAAATTCTTTTTTTCAAGTTCAATAAAAAGGAACTACTGGAAATCTCTCTGCCTGTGCCCATTCGCAGGAACGTGCCTTGGCCCTCTTTGGGGAACTTCAGTCGCAGAGAGCTTCCTCCTCCTGAGCCTTTAAATCTATCCCATTCCTGGGAGGATAGGATGGCCAGATTTAGCAAACAAAAATCCAGGAAGCCCAGATAAATCTGAATTTCAGATAAACAATGAATAATGTATTTTATCTGGCACCTCTCGGGGGACACCCTGCTCAGATTCAGCAGTCACCACTCCCTGACACAAGGACAAATGAATTCTGGTCTGATCCACTAGCTGGCTGTGTGGCCTTAGAAATCAGTCTACACCTGGAAGTTTGGTTTTCTCGTGAAGGTGGGGGATCAAGTGACTGTGAGGTCCCAGCCAGGTTGAGGGGTCTGTGATTCTGCGTTCTCATGAAGCTCCTCCCACACAGCTCCTTCTATTATTTTAATTATAAAATGATACCTGAATGCATCCTTGCAAAAGATTCAAACAACAGAGAAATATACAAAACAAAACAGGAAGCCGTCCACCATCTCCAATCTTCCTTTCTCAGAGGTAACCACCTTCAATAGTTCGATGAGCATCCCTGGAGTCCCCTTTCTATGTATGGTACTAGACATGGGCACCCGTTTGTACCTCCAGGAATTTAAACTCATGGCCCTCTGGGTGAGAGAACCCGTGTGCTGTGCCCACTGGAAGCTGAATGGGGGTGGAGGGAGTGGACCCCTGGAAGCATAATGTCTGCCAGGCCCCTTGAGTACAGCCAGACCCTCCGTCCCTTCTCTTCTGACCTATCCTATCCCTGGCTCCCCAGAGTCCAGCAGAAAGCCAGGGCTCGGTCCAGCCATGACTCCTCAACTTAGCCCTCTCCTTTTCATTCCTGCCTCAGCCCCAGCAAACTGCCCCAACCCAGCTCACTCCCAGGCAATCATTTGTGGCATAACAGGTGTGGCTTTTCTGCTGTCATGAAGATATGCCAGGGACAAAGTCCTCAGAGTGCTTAGACTCGCCCAACCCGGGAGCCTGCCCTACAGACCCCTCTAAGAGTGAGGACAACCCACTGTCAGCTGAGACACCCCCCCCCCAATCTGGCTCCCTGTCAATCTGCTCCCAGCTCCACCCCAGCTGCCATTCCTGGGCTGGGCGAGTTCCAGTGTCTGCTCCCAAGACACTGATGCGATGGGTCTTCCACACAGTGCTCATCTTCCCCGTATCCCCCAGTGATCCCTCTTCCTGTGAACCATCTGGAGTGAACTAACCTTTCTTTTCACACTACCTGCCTGCTGCATCTCACTCTAAGGTCAAGCGACCATCTCATGGGTGAGTTCATGCCCTGTTCATCTCACAAAAAGAATACATGCTCATTATGGAAAGACTAGAAAATATGGCTACACCAAGAACAACAAAATAAAATTTAAAAAAATACTCATCCTGAAATAGCCACTGTGTGTTATTTCTTTATACTTATAATTTTGGTTGATACTTATATTATAGATTACAAAATGGTTTCTTCCAGTTGAATTCAGACTGCACCTTATTTTAAGTAATTTTGCTTTTGAATGACTTTGGACAGGACATTCAGTGTTAAATTCACTATTTCCCCACCACTCATTTTATTATACCAATCCCATCTCATTCATTCACACCTTATCCCTAAAGGCATCTAAATTTGTAATGACTACACAATATATATGTATTTTTTTTATCACAATGGGATCCTACTGCATATTCTATTTTGCAATATACTTTTTTTCACGTAACAGTGTGCCACGAATACTTTTCTGTCTCAATAAATAGTCACTTCCAACTTTATTTTTAATGGCTGGGAAGTTTTCCATTGAAAAGATGTATCACAATTTATTCGGCTAACACCTACTGCTAAAGATTTAAATTGCTTTCAATTTTTGCTGCTCCAGTGAACATCCCTGTAGCTAGAGTTTTGCACACTTCCTTAATTAGTTCCCTAGGATAAATTCCAAGACGAGGAATTGCTAGGTCAAAGGGTATTTGCAGTTTTAAAAGCTTTTAACATGTGTGGCCGAATGGGGTGCCCAGAGTTTTACAATGACACAGGCCCTTGAGAACTTCCTGTGACTGCTGTCAGGAACGACCCTTCCCAGCATTAACAGGAGCCCAGAGAACATCTGATCACTCCGCTCTTAAGGCTGTCTAAAGTCAACTCACCCAACAGGGGGGCTTTTCTCCAATAACCATCCCGGACCTCCACGTAATCGTACCAGCACAGGCGGCTTTTAAACAAATCCATGGATGTGAAGTTTAAGACGATCTGTAAAGAATGACCATAAAGTGAGTTTTGGCAGCAAAGCCCGAGGAGTTTTGAAAGATACATCTTGCATACCGGCGTTCTCACGTTACCCTTTAGCATACGGGATTCTCAGACCACAGCAGGAGTGTTGCCTCAAATACACACTCGAAGGAAACCTGATGACATTAAATAATAAACCTTCAGCAGGATGGGGAGTAAACAGAAGGAGATGGGTCCTTTGGTTCTGTCTGGGGAATCACTTGAGCTTTTGAAGTCACCAGGTGGTTTACACAAAGCAAGATGCATTAAAAAGAGCGGCCAGGGTGCGTTGAGACGGGGTGTTTGGAAGGAGGTGAGGGGTCAGGGAAGTGCAGAGATACGAAAAGATCCTATAACATCATCAGTCATTCCGAGGGGCTGGGGTTAGCTGGGGTGCATCTGAGCACCTCCGTGGTCAATGTCCCCGGCCATGACCCTCACTCTGCTGAGGTGGGGTGTGTCTATCTGACAACCTTCCCACAAGGAGTCTGTCCATGCACTAATCTGTTCATTTGTTCGCTCCACCACTGTTTGTTGACCACCTACTGAGCGCCGACCCCGGTTGGCCAACGGAGACAGAAAGAGCAGGAAGACAGGGCCCCAGGTCCAGGAACAGGCAGATGCAACAGCATGGTGTAAGTGCTGAAGGGAGGGGGACGGTCAGATGGAGCCCTTTGGCAGTCCTGAAGAGAGAGAAATAAATTCTGCCTGCTGAGGCTGGAGAAGACCTCTCAGAGGAGGTGACATTTAACCTGAGGGGCCTCGGGGATCTGTGGGCAGAGAAGTAGGGCTAGCGTGTTTCCCTGAGCGGAACTGACGTTGAGCAAAGGCCAGGAGCTGTTTGGGGAAGTGTCCATGGGCCCCGCACAGGGCACTGATTGTGCGTGTGTCTAGAACGAGGGGCAGCAGGCCGATAGCTGGGAGGGGGGAGGTGCAGGTGGCCTGGGAACGAAAGCGAAAGCACTGGCTCCTCTGGACGTCCGGAGGCCAAACTCACACAGGCGAGTACTTAGAGCAGGGCGGGCCTCAGCACACAGGTGCCCGCCCGTGGACTGGCCCTGGTCCCCCTGCGGCCCTCCAGCTCGGAGCTCCCCTGGCAGATGGCGCCGGGCAGAGTTAAGGTTTCCTCTGGCCCTTCCTCCCCATCCAAGCTCCACCAGGCAGGGTGCCCTTGCCTCCTGCTGCTCTCCACTTTGCTCTTCCACCATTCCTGCCACAGCCCCTGACCCCGGCACTGTTCCCCTTGCAACTTGGAGTACCTTGTACTTGGGAGTTTACCTCTCTCCAGCCTCTTCACCCTCTGCTCCTCCGCTGGCCACTTCTTTTATATTCAAACAGCCCCAGGGCCTTCTTATCTCTAAGGAAACCTTAGGCTGGAGAGGCTGCAGGCAAAGGTGGCCTCCCCGCCACATCTAAAGGACTCTTATTCGTCCTCATGCTTCCTGGCTTCCCTGCCCGAGTCTGTCCTTTCTGGTTTTCACCACGCTGACCTGTCCCCTCCCCATGTTCTCCACCCGCTGGCTCCTGCCTTTGCCCCACTAGCCGTGAGAGCACCTCCAAAGGAAGCACTTCCCCTCCAGCTTCCCCGACGGTGGGAGGCACCTTCGCCACACCACCTGGCACCAAGCTTGGTACCATCCCTCCTGCACCCGTAGTGGAGCCCCTCATCCGCCAGCACCCATGCTGGGGCTTTTTCCTTTGACGTCTGTGTCCCGCCCCTCCAACCCCAGCTCACTCCACCGTCCTCACCTTTCCCTGGACTCCCCCCTGCTGGGCCCATGCATTCTTTACATTGAGGCTTCTAGATCAATCTTCCACTTATAGCTCACGTTTACCAGGCCCTCTTCGTGCTCAGGAAACTTCAGGGGTTCCCTGTGCACCTGTCTCATGAATAAAACTCTCTGCTCACTTTCAGAGCCCCCAGGGCCTGTCCTGTGTGACCTTATTGCCCAGCACACCCTCCCATGAAACCCTCCGCATGCCCGGCTCAAGTGCCCCTCCTCCCCCGGCCCCGCTCTGACTGCACAGATGGACGTGTGTGATCTCCTTGTGTCCTCGGAACGCCCCATTCTCTCTTTTACAGTAGTGATTCCAGAGCAGGTGGCTTTAGAATCAGGCAGATCTGGATTTGCTTCTCAGCTCCACCATTTGCTAGCTCTGGAGTCTTGGGGAAACACTTGACGCTTGGACTCCTAGTTTCCTTATCTGTGAAATGTTACCCCCACCACTGGGTTGTGGGGGGCACAGCTCAAGAAACTGCGCATAGGGTGTGTATTTCTATGCCTGGCACACCATAGGCACTGCATTATGGCAACTCTAACCATCAGCGCACACTGACTGGTGTCGAGTGCCCACCCCTGCCCTTGGGCTGGGCCCACCCGATGTTCAGGCCTCAAGTAGCATCTGCTTCCACAGAGCCCTGTGATCTCCTAGGACATGAAGAGTCAGTACCAGAAAGAACAGGCCAGCTCACCGCCTGTTGGGGGATGGTGTGCATGCCTATGATGTCACTCTTCTTGCAGACTACACTAGTGGTTTTCAATCCTACCTTGCACATCATAATCACCTTGGAAGCTTAATAAAAAAGCTGATACCAAGCAAATCTCCTCCTTCCATTAAATCAGATTCCCGGGGGGGGGGGGGCAAAGTAAACCCTCATAAAGATGGGGTGTACCTTAGCTTTCTTTCATATCCCCCACCAGGTGATAGAGCTTCGTAATAAATGTAAGCTGGTTGCACAATCATTCTTTAGCCTTTGCTTTTTAAAATTACAAAAAGGAAATGTGAGTACAACTTCCTTGGTAACACATTCATGATCTGAATGAACAGGATAATTATTCAGGCTAATTATTTTAAGTATGTTAGTGAATCATAAAGACCATAGGGGAAGAGGTGATGAACAAGGGCTGATATTTGAATCAATCAAGTTTGCTAATTACTAGCAGCTCTGGGGAAGGTTGGGTGAGACAGAAATTGAAATAATTGGTGCAGGAATTTCAATGATGTATATTCTCCCTGTCCCCAGTTAGCACTAATAATTAAGGCTTGCTGAAGCTTACGCAGTTCAAACATATCACACAGCCCCTGCTGTGCAGGGCGATTCAATAATTCGGAGATTATCAGACCCCTTCCTCTTCCTCGTCCTCCTTTCTGCCTCCCTCCTGCTAGCGCCTCCAGCAGGCACAGGGACATCACATCCACCAACGCAGACAAGTCTGGTGTCCCAGACAAGGGATGACAACCACATTTAATGTTTTAAATGCTTACAGTCATAAAACGGGGAGGGTAGTGTGTGCACACACACGTGTGTGCATGTGTGTGCATATGCATGTTCTAATGTCTGCTAGCCTGTCTCGTTTGTGTAAGAATGTAAGAAGATGGTCAAGTATGCAGGCTCTCAGAGTCCAGTTGCCCAGGTTCAAATCCCAACTATGCAACAAACATAGTAGCCTTGGGCAAGTCCATTTCCTTCCCTATGGTAGCAGCACCTATCATATGAGGTTGACGTGAGGATGAAATTAGCACATCCATATGATATGCTGAGGACAGTACCCAGTCCATAGAAAATGTTCACCATGGTTTCTAGCCAGCTCTCTCTAGTTATCACTCTATGCTTAACTTGACATTTACATGGGTATTTTAAAAAAGTTATGAATTAGGAATACCTGAAGGTTGGCTACAGGTGCCTAAAAATTCCAGCACCCCATTACCAGCCCTCACTGCAGGTTTTTCCCTCAGCCCTCCACACATGCATTCAACAAACACTTAGTGTGACCATTCTGTACGTAGACTGTGTGGGATGCTGGGAGCCTGGGGGTGAACAATCTCCATCCCCAATGAGCTGAGGATTTAGAAATAGCACAAATAAACTAGCAGCCACAATACTGTGAGACATGCTACAACAGGTACGATTGCTCTGGGGACACAGGAGCTGTCCCCTAGCCTAGTCCCAAGGAGCAGAGAGGACTTCTCAAGGACGGCTGCATCTGGTCTGAGACAACTTGTAGAACACTTGGATTTGTAGAGAGATGCAGAAACAAGACAAGCTCTGCAGTGCAAACCCCCCAGTTCCCAGTTCTACATCTTACTGTGAATTTGGGCAATTTCCTTAATGTTCAAGCCTCAAATTCCTTGTCTACATAGTGGATATAAGAGTATGTCCCCTGCCATCATTGGACCAGGGTAAAAGTGGCCCTGGGCTCAGCTCTGAAGGGTCATGGAATCTTCAGAGCAAAAGGACACACTTACCCAGAGCTTGCCTAGTCCCTAAGCCACACTCCAGGGACCGAGGACCCTGGAGTTCCCTGTCCAAACAGCTCTCAGTCCATTTCCAGGGCACGCAAAGGCCTTTTCCCGGATTCACCCTCCCCGAGTGGGCTGCACACCTGGCCAGCCCACCCTCGCTGTAGGGGCAGCCAAGGAGCAGAAGTTTGCGAGGAAGGAGTGGATGGTGCCTGGGAGTGTGGGCAGGGTGTCGACACGTGTGCTCTTGAGGCCTGGAATGGGGGATGGCGGGTGGAGGACGAGAGGCCTATGTGTTGGTTGTCCCCACGCCGCCACCTTCCAGGCTGGTTCTCCCACATGTCCCAGAATTCTCAACTGGCTCCTGGCCCTCCAGGACATTATGATAGTTTATTTAGTAAGGATAGAGCCGACTTTATTTTACAAACTGTTAGCTTGACTTATAACTTAGTGGACGTTTAGTACGTGCCAGGCCTTCATTTGTATCCATGAGACTGGTTGAGAAGTCCAGAAACAATGGCCATGACGCAAGCGGCGCAGTTCTAAACCAGCTCTCACACGACCGTCAACAATCAGAATAATTCCCCGGGCCTCGCCCAACTCGCAGGGTGCCCCGCCATGCCCCGAGGGGCTCCCACCTACCTTCTCCCCGGGGGTGACCGAGATCCTCCAGACGCAGTGGGAGTAGGAAGGGTAGCCATTTGGGAAACCAGGCGCAGAAAAGTTTCCTGTCGTGTCCTGCAGGGTCTCCCCACACGCTGCACGAGCAAAGCGACAACCGTGAGGCGGCACGTGGCGCACCCACTCCCCACACAGGCAGCTCCCGCACGGGGTGGCCGCGCAAACGCACCCCTTCACCAGGCAAAGCCCTCAGACCAGGCTGATGAGAAGCGAGCCAGGCAGACTGACGTTTTTCTGGCTACCAAAAGCACAAGCAAGTCTGGGTGCCAAAAAGTGACACTCCTGGGCTTCTGAGGTTTTCAGGACTGAGCATGGCCTAGAGCTCATGGATCTCAGCTCTCCAGCTGGCTGTGTGGCCGTGGGCAAGTGGTCCAGCCTTGCTGCACCTTAGTTTTCTTACCTGTAAAATGGGCAGGACCTGCCTCAGAAGGGTAGTGAAATCACATGCATTACGTGAAACAGATCAGCTCAGTGCTTGGCACACAGTGAGCGCTCCATCTAGAGTAGCCATTATAACTGATAATAATAATAATATCTGTGGCAGAGAAAATATGAAAGTGCAAGTAGGTAAAGCAAAAAGAAAAAAAATGCCTTGAAACTCATTTCAGCTGTTAATTTGAATCTTTCCTCTTCTTTTTCTCTTGCCCACCTCTGAAAGATGCCAAGGAAACAGAAAAATGCAGAGGCATAGGGAGTGAGAATATCAGAGCGAGCCGTTCTGCCCTTGCATGTCCAAGGGCTGCCTGGTTATGAGTCTAGGACCGAGTCTTTATGTATGAGAAAAATATTTCCCTTCATTTGCATGAATACTTGGAAGCTGCAGGTTTTGTGTTTCCCTAACTCCCAGGGATTCGTGCTCCAAAGATTCAGACACTGTTTTGCTGAGTGTCCTCCTCTTACGGGGCCACCCCTGCCGTGTGGGACACAAGCATCTTTCCCTATGTGAAGTTCAACCTCCGCATGGCAACTGCCAGAGCTTCCAGTCACTCCTCGAGGCTACTTGAAACTCCGTATTTTTGGGAGCTGCAGGAAGAGATATGCAGAGAATTGCCCATCATTGGCCCCAGGAAATCCTGGATATTGACGCTTGGATATCATGTTACTGAACAACTGCCAGGCATCATGAAGATTATGCCTGGCAGCCAACACCCCCAAGGGTTCCATGGAAATTATTTTAGAATAATCATCAACATTTTGCAGGAACAGATACGTTACTGTGTGGCTCCATGGTATTTACCAGCTGCCTCGAATCCTTTAGGGAAGTGAGCAGCATATACATTATAACTAAATAAATACTGTGGCATTTCCCAGGGAATGCTATAAGGTTTCCTTTTAAATTCAGCAAGGTTATCTGATATGTGTGTCCCGTATTTTAGCCCTAACATGTCCCCAGATGACTAATAGCAGGATGGACATGTTTCCTAGAGTTTCTTGAGGAAGCGAGCCCCACGCGGCGCTTGGCGGGCCCTGTCGTCCTGCTCAGCAGAACAATGTGACAGCCCAGATTTTCTAAGTGGCCTCCACTTCAAATATCCTGTCCCAGGATCAAACGCTGGGTCTGGTTTAGGGGTCTGGGAAAGGCTGTTGTTAGTGGAATCTCCTTCATTCCCGCTAAAACCACTGACATGCACCCTGTCCCACCAGTGGTAAAAACCCAGCTGCTACCGGCAATGCTTTGCATTGTCGCGAAGTAGCTTCAAGGGGCCAAGGAGTGCTTACCCCAGGGCAGTGAGTGTGTGTGTGTGTGTGTGTGTGTGTGTGTGTGTGTGTGTGTGTGTGTGTGGTGATGATGATGATGATGATGAAGCCAAGAGGACAGAGGCAAAGAGGGCAAATTCAAGGAGAGGGGACTCTCATATAGGCCGTATAGACCCGACCTTCCGTAAACCATTCTCCCCGATTCTCTGTCTTCCCGCCAAGTCCCCCTTGGCTCTTGTTTGGCCAAACCCACATCCCCTCGTCCCACAGGAAGGGCTGTCTCGCTGTGACGGGGCCACGCTGCACTGCAGACCTGTTTGCTCTTGCTCTGCTCTGCCTGCGTCCTCTTCGGACACTTGGCCAGAGTAGCTTCCCGCAAGTTGGGCTGTGGGCTCTAAGACGTGATGTCCTCCTCGTACCGCAATCCTGTCGCTGTGCCGGCTTTCTACGCCGCCCAGCAACTCCTACCAGGAGGACCCCGAGGAGTAGCCCGTTAGGGTCCCTGTGTTGTTTCCCAGCGAGGGGGACCGTGCTCCCGGACGCCAGGGAGGCTCGCGGTTACCTGGGCATTTGTACAGCTTCCTGGCTTGCGCTATGTCTCCCCGACTGAGCCGCACACGCTGGCCGATGGTTGGCCTGACGCCATTGTCATCTCGACGGGGGAGGATGGTGTCTAAGAAAACCCCTCTACAGGAAGAGAAAAGAAAGAGAGAGAAAGAAAAGTCAAGGCCATCAGGCTGTCCGTGAGGGACTTCCCCCCTCATTTCCTCGCCGCACCCCGTCAGCATTCCTGCCCCTGGCCTGCCTGTCCCGGGCTGGCATGACTGAGGAGGTCCCTTTGCTCGTGCTGACATTTTCACATTCCATTCCATCAGCGGCCTACTCACTTTCCAACAGCAAGATGACTCTGCCAAGTTCAAAAATACGCCCTAGCCCAGTAGCCTGGGGTGTCCTGACTGACGCGCACTGAGCATTTCCACGAAGCCCCTGGCAGGGCAGGCCCAGAGCCAGCACCACGCTGCACGACTGCAGGGGGCACCATGCAGAGAGGCCACGGTGTGAGTGGCGCCCCCTGGAGGTGTGCGCTGGGCAGTGCTGTGCACACAGCAGTCTTGGAGCCACCCCAGGGAGAGCTTGGGAACTGGGACAGCGGGAGACTCCCAGGGCTGGCCAGCGAGCACAGGCGGATGCGCCGCTCATCGGAGTCTGGGGGCCTCGCTGGCAAGAGGGCAGTCAGGTGGAAAATGAGATGAATGCAGAGAACAAGAGGTAGTGGAAAGAGCCCTGGGCTAGAGATTTCTAAACCAGGCCTGCTTCTGCCACCTGGGTGAGCTTGGACAAGTCCTTTCCTCTCTCCGAGCCTCAGTTTACCCCTCTGAACAATAAGAGATTGGCCTAGGTGGTCGTGGTGGCCCCTTCTATCCCTAACATCTTATTCTACTCCTACATGATTGAAATCTAAAATGACAGCTTCATTTCCGAAACAGACAAGTGGGAACCAGGATGGCTGGCTGAGCACCAGCCCTGCGGTGGGCACGGTTTACACTGCCTGCTGCCCGGCGTGCTGCCAGCTCTGAACCTCCTCCTCTGCCTCAAGACTCTCCATCCAGGGCCTCTCTTGCAGGTGAGGCCTTTCCTGGAACCAGCTCCTTGCCCAGTTACCACCTTGTTTCTTGCCTTCCCTTCTTATCCAAGTTTCTAGAAAGTGTTGTCTCCGTCCTCTGACTGCTGATCTCTCCTTCGCTCCTCAATACAGCTGTGATCTGACTGCATCAGAGATGGCTACCAGTCACCCAGCAGCGGAGGACACTTCTCCATCTCCGCCTGCCCGCTCTCCAGCACTGGGACCTCTGTACCCCACCCCACCCCCGCCCTGGTTCCAGGGCACTGCTCTTGCTGGGCAGGGAGGTAGGAGCCACTGCTGCTTCCCCCTCAAATGATGCCCTATGGGTTTCTGCCCTCACCTGCTATTCTCCTCTCTCTCCATGTTCTACCTGCTCCTGTGAGTTTTAACCCCCTCCTAGCTCCTAGCTCATCAGTTCATAGCTAATTCTCTGTGTTCATAGCCCAGAATCATGTGCTAAGCCCCATATGCCTGGTGGAGGTGTCACCAGATTGTCCTATGGGGGGTTTCTTATGTTCAACAGGCTCAAAACCAAATTTATTCCAATTCCATCTTCTCCTGCTCATTCCACAACCTTTATCCCTTATCCTCTGAGCCTGAAGCTGAAGGTACCTTGGCTCCTCCTGGTCACTCACATTCTCCCGTGGAAACCAGTAGCCAGGTCTTGTCTATTGCTCCTTCCATGCACGCCTGTAATCCATACCCTCCTCCTCATTCCCGGACCACTGCCTTGGCTCAGTGATCAGCATTCCCTTCCTGAATCGTTTCCAGTAGCTTCTTAAGTGGCCTTCCTCCCTGTAGACTCAGCCACTTCTGATCTACTCCCCATCCCACAATGCTGCAACGTGATCATCCTGAAATGCAAGGGTAGGAGGTGCCCTCTTGGCTTGGAACCCTTCACCAACTTGCCATCACCACTTGGATCTCTAGGTCATTTGCTGGCTGGCTTCCACCTTCCCTTCCAGCCGCCTCTCCTGCCATCTCCACTTACACTGCCTTAAGCAACACTGAGCTCCTTCTAGCCCCAAACATGCCCTTGCCCGTGCTATCCTCTCCCCAGGCTGCCCACGCCCCATCTTCTTGTCTGCTCACAAACTCCTCTTCATTCTCCAAAACCCCACCCAAAGTCTTTCCTTCTTTTAAGCCAGTGTTTCCTGTTGCCCAGGGGTCTTTCTCGAACCCTATCTATCACTCCCACCTGGAGTTAATCATTCCTTGCTCTGGGCCCTACTCATTTGTCTTGTCTCTTCTCATCATACTGTATGGAGCCATGCACCACGTCTTCTTTGAGGAGGAGTAGTGTTTGTCTTCTTTGCTAAAAGTAAGTTCCTCAAGCAGAGAGAGTGGGTCCTTTATCTCTGTCCTTAGGGACGGGAGCATAGCAGGCCTCAAGAAATGCTGCTTGAATTAAATTATGCAGTCAAGATAGGGCACTATCTTCAAAAACCTTTGCAAAATAGTCATTTACATCCAAAGGGAAATGCGAAAGTGTGCCTAGTTACCCAGCTCTCTCTCTCTCTCTCTCTCTCTCTCTCACTTCTGTTTCCCTAAATTACACTACCTTGGAAAATACCTATTACCCCTATTTCTTCCTCATTACATCACTTTGTTATCCTTTTGTTTTAGTATATAGTTGTGTTTTTTTCCTAAATCAGACTTCAAGCTCACTTTCCAACCTTAGCATGTGGGAGTCTAGGTCATCTGCCAATTTCCTTTTCAGCATCCCTCTGCCCAAATATAACCCTCTGCCCTGACTTTAGTTAATTCCCACTGCCTTGTCTGTGGGTCCAGAGTCCCCTAGAGAAACTACAGTGGAATCCTTGGTCTCCCTCCCTGACCTCGCCAAGTTTTAAACCACCAGTGATGACTCCATGCAAAATTCTAAACTCAGTAACTTGCTCCTCTATAAACAGGTACTTCTGCCCTGACCAAAGATGTGTCCATTAATAATTATTTTCTTGGTTACCGTGAGGAAAGGAATTTTGCAGCACAAACATAAGCATCACCACAACCTCTAAGCACCCCATGCTAACTAACTCTGTTCATGGCCACATCAAGCAAGTGACTTTGCCAGTGGGACCACTCTCCACGCTCTCATTGTTCATAGACTTTCCTGTGTGCCAGGCCCTGGGTTGGGCACGCTGCACACACCACCTCATTTCATCATCATAACACCCGAGGTGGCAGGTGCCATTACCACCAGGGTTCTCTGAGCCTGCACAGCTTAAATGACTTGCCCAGGCTACAGAGCTAGTGATGGTCAGACAGGCCTGGCGCTCACCTTCCAGCCAGTGTTTCCCACTGCCCGAGAAATAGTAGGCCTTAATGTGCATTAAATGATAGGGCTAAGAACACTGGAGACTTCAAAAACCGAAACATCGGGAACAATGTTGGCTCACACTCAGATAGCTCCTTGGTGCTGGACTCCCTCCCCTGCACGCCCCTGAGCTGCCAGCAAGTGCTTCCAGCTCTGGACGATGTTTACTACAAGACCCGCCCTCCCCTGTGTAAACCAGTGCGGTGGTGTTCCTCCCCCTTTCACGTTAGGGCAGCTCTGAGCACCGTCATTCAGCTAAACTAAGAGAGTTCGGCAGATGCCTTAGGGAATAAAACTGTCAGTTCTGAGTTCTCAAACAAAGACGCCCCTGTATCAGAAACTATCCCCTCATCTCCTGGACCCTTGCCCGACAAAACCTCCAAAGACACCACTCCCCACACCTCTGCCCAACCAAGGGGGAGGAGAGACGAACTGCAATAAACTGGAGGGAGCGAAGTTGCAAGGAGATAGCTCAATCATAAAGAGACGCACAAAGATGGGGTTTCGCATCAGCAGGGCACAGCATTTGCCCCCAGATGAGCGTTTTATGTTCTGTATGCTACTTTCTGCTCTTTTACAGAAGCCAAGACAAGGTGCAGGCCGGCGCCAGGGGATATGAGACCAGGAGTAATGACACGGAGTCACAGAGTGGGGAAAATACTGACAAAATGCCCGAGAAGCCCACCAGTAAGAACCCACTGAACAAAGTACTTTTCTGAAATTACATACAAAAAAATGGGCAGAAAGGACAGTGCAGGTATTCACCTGCAGCAAAACAGATTTGCTGAAACCATTCTGAACTCTGGGGAGGAGGTGAGAAGGTAGCAGTGATAGATTACTGAAATAATGAGTTGCTCCTCCTAAGAGCCATATCCCCTTGCAACGTGAAGCTGCCACTCCTCCCAGTAAAAGAGGGCATCTGTTTCTCACTCCTTAAGTCTGGGCTGGCCTGTGTCTTGCTTGCACCAAGAGAATGCGGCACAAATGATGTTATGCAAGTTCTGGAGCCTCGGCCTTACGAGGCTTGCAGCTTCCCAGCTTGTCCTCTAGGAACTCTGAGTCCCCATGCAGTCCCGGTCCAGCCTCCTAGAGGATGAGAGGCCACTTGAACGAGGACCAACAGGCTCCCTTGCAGAACCGAGGGCCATGGACAGGCAGCCTCTAGTGCCAGGCATGTGACTGGACCCCGTGGACGCCCCAGCCTAATCAAGCTGTCAAATGCCTGTCGCTGTGAGTGATCCCAGGCAAGACCAGGGAAGAATGAGCCCGACTGACCCACAGTATCATAAAAAAGAATAGGCTGCGGTTATAAGTCCCTAAGTTTGGGGCCAGCCGTTCTGCAGCAGTAGATAACCCAGTAGTAGTGGCGGGGCCATCTGCCCTGGGGAGTGGCTCTGCTCCAGCTGCCTATCCTCCCAGGTCCGCCCTGCTAGTCTCCCTCCTAGGGATTCTGGGGACTTTGGGTGAGAAATGATTTCATGGGTTTGGCTCAATGATTTCCACTGGTCTGTGCTGATGAAATGGTTCACATTGACAGTAGTCAATGATGGTTATTCCTGAGGGGCAAAAGGTATGGGATTATGAGCTAGAGATCACAGAAAAAAAATAGAGATTTTTTAAAAAGAAAGACAAGAAAAGAAATGCTGGTCTGGAAGATTCTCTGCCTGCATTCCTGTCCTGGCCTCTGGCTTTGGAGCTGGTGCAGCGCCTGGCACAGGGCAGGTGCGAGAAGGCAGTGCTGATCCTACAACCTCAAATGCCCTGCATGGCAGAGACCTGGAGAGTCTCTTCAACAAAGTGACCACTGCAGGTGGGAGTATGTGGAAACAACTGCAATGAGCATAACGGAAATTTCCACCCTCCCCTATTCCCCAGCATAGCAGATCCCTCGGCCCTTCTGAACTCATTCATTAATTCATCCATTTAGCAAATGTCTATTGAGCACCTACTATCTGCCAGGCACCAGGTTGGGTGCTGAGAACTAGAAGAGAGTGAGTTAGTCTCTGTCCTCAAGGATCTCAGTCTATTGAGGGAAAAGGGAATGCAACAGATAAATTTTGTTTTGTTTTGTTTTGTTTGTTTTTTTCAAAAATCATGGCTTATTGAAGAGATAAATTAATATTAATTAATAGATAAAATATAAAGCATCATGAAGGATTATGACAGTTACAGAAACAAGACTCAAGGAAAAGCATCTCACTTGGCCCAACTTGACACTGGTTCCCTGGCAGAATTAATGATGCTCTGTCTCTAGTAGCAGCCTGCAGCTCCTGGATGATGCGTGGGGCCTGGGTGTTCCCTGCACCATTTCCCAAACGGGTGAGTGAGCCCAGCCCTGACACCCCAGCGTCCCACATTTGCACAGTGGGCCCTCACCCGCCAGCCCCACTGGCTTCCCGAGACTCCGGCAGACGGCTCACAGTGGACACGGCCAAATCTCAGTTTCCCAAGCTGGAGGAGGAAGCCCTGCCAGCTTCAGATTTCCTACATGGCAGCGAATGAGATCGCATCTGTCAGCCCCTCACCTCCCTGCACAAGATTGAGAAAGTGTACACGAAAGGTTCGAGCTGGAAGGGGCTCAGAGAACATCTAGTCCAACCCTCTCATGAGGAAACTGAGGCCCACGGAGGTGGAGACTTCACCACTCACACAGCTGTCCCCGGTTCCGGTCTACGTCCCCTCAACAGCAAGGTTCACAGGAGAGCTAGGACTAGCACCTGGTCTGCTGCTTCTCGGCTCAGTGGACTCTTCATCTCCCCACGTTTCTTCTTGCATCTTTGACACACAGCAGGGGAAGAGCAGGGAGTCCAGGGAGGCTCAACCTCATGCCACTTGTAAGTGTTGTTGAGGATGCCAACTTCAACACAACTGCACCCATTAGGGCTGCAGAGGACTCCTGCCTGGGTGCAGGTTAGAGGTCACGGCCAGACAGCTGTGTGGCCAGGGGAACAGTGTGCCCTGAGAACATGAGACGCTGAGGATCGGAAGATCCTCCCACCATCCTTTGACCTCATCAACAGGATGCGTTCAGCAGCCTTACCCAAGAACCCAGGAGCTCTGGGTGAGTAGTTTCCCTTTCACTGCCAAGAGCCTTATGTTTCCTGAGCAAATGGTTTCCTTTCATCTTTAAGGACATTGAGACTCATGAAGTGCATTGTTCCCCTCTTTGCTGTGACTGCTAGGAAGCATAGGGCAGGATTTGCTGCCAACCTCAACAAAGTGTACGTGACCTTATGGCATCTGTTCTGAACACTAACTTTATTCCAGGCTTCAACTTAGCTTTCTACCCTTATTTTTTTCCCCTCTCCTTCCCCCCCAGTTTCCTTACCTATTTTCTTTTCTTGTTGTCCCATGTGTATATTGGAAGTCACCTCCAATATTTTGGGAGGAATGATTAAATAAATAAACAAACAAGCAAATAGCAGGTTTTAACAGGAGACTGAAAAGAAAGTGTTCCAGGAGAAAAAATATTTGTACTTTGTGTATCTCCTTTAACGCAAGAGTAGAAAGATCTATTTTACGAAATCGGGACGACTAGTGGGGAAACTTCTGCACACAAGACACTGACATGGTCCGGAAGCAAGGGCGGTATTGAAAATCCCTAATATGTGCTCGGCACAGCACGTCAGAACAGCTCATCAGAACAGACCCTGCCCGTGCTGCAAATCCCTGGTCAGGCCCTACGCGGGTATGCCAGCTCCCATCATCTGCGACCTGCAGGCGAGAGGCCTGGGTGCTTGTTCTCACCCTGACCCCAGCTACCTGTGCACCCACAAGCTGTCTGGAACCTTACCTGAGAGTCTTCACCTCTCAAATGGACCCATGACTCACAGCCCTCCCAGCTCTGACATGGCCCAGCTTCCAATAGACTAAACCTCTTCTAGGAGGACCGGTGAGTTGTCACCACGCTTATATTAATATAAGGACGTGCTTGAGAAGATTCCCCTACCCACTGAAAATTTTACACAGGGCCTCTAACTTATTAGCCCAGCCAACCTCTCAATAATTTCCCCTTTCCAGTTTGCTGCCTGTGACACTAGGGCATGATGGAATGCCAGCTTCACAATGGGATTCAATCTTATTAGTGGGAACCTGATTAGATTATATTTCACTGCAGCCCAGAGGCCACTGTATTTCAAGGACAGACAGGCCAGCCCTGCTAGGAGCATGCAGAGACCTGCTCTCTGCAGACCTCCAGGAATCCGACCCAAGCCTGCGGCAGGCACAGTAAAACACAGAAGAGGCATAAGCAGAGATTCCGACCTTGAGAAGGTGTTCCGGGCGTAGTGCATGATGCTGTCAAAGTCGTATGTCTCTCCCAGAGAGCTCACTTCCCCAGCTTCCATTTTTAAGAAATTATACTCCTGACCTGTGACACAACACTCTGTTAAGGCCTTTGAAAACCAAGCCAGGCACCTGAAAGGAGGCAGAGGAGGGAGGGGGAGGGCCCATAGCAGCTTCTCAGGGCTCTCTTAGCCCTGTCAGTCAAACAACAGGGTTTGTGGTGGTTCCCGTCGTTTTTAATAGATTGGAAATTTGAAACTTAGAGCAAGCCCAGTGTTCTCCCAACTCCTCCCCAGACCCCCCCCCCCAGTGAGACTCAAAACTCTTAAACTAAGTTTGCATACAAATTAGTTATCAATCTGCTTGCCCCCAAATTAAAAATAACCAAAAAACTCTGTGCTTTCAATTTGAAGACACAAAAGAAAATGAATCAAAGAGTTAAATGCAATCCCGAATACTTCACAATTTAGATTCTCTAAGTCCAAAGCATTTTTAAGGCAATCATATTTATCAACTAGCTACTTTCATGTTTAATATGAACTTCTATATAAAATTATTTGAAATAAGAAGGTATTTTTTAAAATGCAGACACTTTATCTGCCTTGGGGCAGAATGTTTCTAGGCAGAAACACTGTTTTCACACATACTCCTGTCCTAATTGTATTTCAGTTTTGAAAAGAAGTGTTACCTATCGGCAAAAATGACTCAGAAAAACAGCCAGGAAAATCCTCTTTTTTTGACTTATCAGCTGTGAGGCTGAAACAGTGTTCTGGTGGATTGTGTTCCTTTTAGGAAATGGAGTAGGATTTCATTGTCCTCTACAACATGGGAAATCCTTTCGCTTCTGCTCTAAACAGCCAGCCATGGCAGATGACCTCCCAGGAAGCCACAGACGGACGGTGGCAGTGCTGGTGACAAACAGCTGCAGAGTAGGGCGGCTGTTCCACCTTCGGCACCCGGCGGTGATCAGCTCCTGCACGCCCTCTCCTTCCTCCCTCCTGGCCCTGCGGATGGCACCTCCCTGGCCAGTCCCTTCCAGACTCCACAAAGGCCTCCTTACCTGGCTGGATGTTTTCTCTGATGATGGTGACATGCTGGTCTCTGTCTGGCCGGGTGTGTTCATGCCAAAACCCAACCACGTGGCCCAGCTCATGAGCCACAATGCCGAACTTGTCACAGTTTTTCCCGATGGATATGGCCTGCGGACCTCCTCCTCGGCGCCCGACATAGGAGCAACAGCTGGGCAGTGGCAGAGATCGCAGGTGAAAGCACATCCAGCAAAGAAGCAGCTCTCCCCACCCCCTGCCAACCACTGTGTGTGTGTGTGTGTGTGTGTGTGTGTGTGTGTGTGTGTGTGTGTGAAAGAAAGACTCTCAGAGGTGACTGTGTTCTCATTGCCCAACTTCTCACCCAATGCAGACATTCCCCCCTCAAAAATGGTTCTTGAACATTTTGGGGGTCACAGATCCTCTTGAGAATCTGAAGAATGCCATGGCCTTGCTTCCTGAAACAAAGTGCATACCACATCCACCCCTCCAGCCCCCAGGTGCCCGTGTCTCTGCTGGACCGTCTCTGGTGACAAGGAGAAGAAACAAGGAAGCAGGCTGCTGCGTCTCCGCTAAGCATGCATCTTGGTACCACTATCAGGGGAGCCTTAGAGATGACTTCTTTCATTATTCCCAGTACAGAAAGGTATAAAAAAGAAACTAACATGGTCCCTAATTTCACCACCCAAATAACCTCTATTGAACATTTAAAAAAATACATGACCATATTACAAAAGACTGAAGTATTAAGTCTCTCACCCCCACGCTCAATCTCTTTATCCAAAGGTAAACTTTGCTAACAGTTTCTTGCATGTTCTTCCAGAAAATGTTGATGCTACAGATATATAGAGAGATATAGATATCGCTATAGATATATAGAGACATATAAAGATTGCTATAGACATATGGAGAGATATAGATATCGCTATAGATATACAGAGATATAGATATCTCTCTATATAAATATTTAAATTACACAATACACCATGTACATTGTTCTTTATCTTGCTTCTTGTCCTCCTTAATTTAGAGATCTTTATATAACAGCATACACAGATCTCTTTCATTCTTTTCAAAGCAACATAGTATTACATTTATTTCATAGTACTAATCTTTTTATAGTACTAAAATGTATTTCATCAGTTTCCTATTAATGTACATTTAGGCTAACTCCAGTCTTTGCTATTTCAACAAAGCCACAGGGGAGAGAGGAAGACAAACCAAAAAAACAAACAAATCAACAACGATAACAGCCGGGCGCGGTGGCTCACGCCTGTAATCCTAGCTCTCTGGGAGGCCGAGGCGGGCGGATTGCTCGAGGTCAGGAGTTCGAAACCAGCCTGAGCAAGAGCGAGACCCCGTCTCTACTATAAAATAGAAAGAAATTAATTGGCCAACTAATATATAAAAAAAAAATTAGCCCGGCATGGTGGCGAATGCCTGTAGTCCCAGCTACTCGGGAGGCTGAGGCAGGAGGATTGCTTGAGCCAGGAGTTTGAGGTTGCTATGAGCTAGGCTGACGCCATGGCACTCACTCTAGCCTGGGCAACAATAGCCTGGGCAACAAAGCGAGACTCTGTCTCAAAAAAAAAAAAACAAAAACAAAAACAAAACAAAAAAACAACAACGATAACAAAAACCAAAACAAACAGTTGGACTCCTACTTGCTCCTGGTAGGGTAGATTTCCAGCAATAGGATTAGTGGATAAAAGGGTACGTGCACTTGAAATTCTGACAGATACTATCCGTTGCACTCCTCAAATGTTGTCTACTTATACACTCAGTAATAACATATCCAAAGCCCCACTTACCCACACCCTGGCCAATGCTGGTTTTATCAAACAATTTTTGTCAATTGGGTAGGTAAAAAATGGCATTTCACTGTAGGGAGGTAAGGTTGGATAGTTTTTCACATATTTTATGGGATATTTCTATTTTTTCCTATGAACTATGTGTTCATATCTTCTCCTATTTTTCTTTTGATTTGTCCATCTTTTTATTATTGATTTTTAAGAACAATTTGTAAATTAGGGAAACTAGAATTTCAATTGTCAAAAGTGTTGCAAATATTTTTCTCACTGTGTTATTTCTCATTTGATTTTGGTTTTATTTTATGTCCTGTTTTGATTTTCTTTTTGTCATATAAAAGTGTTCAGTGTTAAATTTAAATTAGGTTAAATTTTTAAAGTTTTGAACATAAATTTATAAAATGTCTTCATTTTTTTACTGCTGAGAAAAGCCATCCAAATTTCAAGATTATAAAGAAAATCTACCCTGATTTTCTTCTAACACTCTTATGGATCTTTTTCTTTCTTTTCTTTTCTTTATTTCTTTTTTTATGTTTACATCTTTGATCCAGCTAGAATAGTTTTTTGGTGTAAGAAGTGAAGTAGGAATCCAGCTCTTTTTTTTTCACAGTTTACCCTAGTATTCAAACATCCCAATGGACTAATCACTCATTTAAAATGCTATCTAAATTTGTGTATAGGTATATTCATTTTGAACCCTTTTTCCCATATATTTATTTTTCTTAAGTTCCAAATTAATTTAATTATTATCTTCATTTTACATTTTAATATTCTGCATGTTTAGATATACCATCAGACCCCTATCTCTGACATTATTGGTATTTTTTTTCTCTGTATCTTATTTCTATATTGTTCTTCCATATAAACTCTAGTATCATTTGTTCAAGTTCTAAAAAAAAAAGTCCATACATATACCATATGTATATGAAAATGTTGGTGTTTAAATCAGAATGGCATGAATTTATGGATTATTTTAGGGAGTTCTGACATCTGTACTATGTTGAGTATTCCTACACCAGGAAATGGTATGCACTTCTATTTTTATTTTATTTTATTTAGGTTCTTTGGAGTTTTAGCATTTTCTTCCTAAAGGTCTGGCATATTTTTGCATATTTGTCAAGTTTATTCTTAGATATAGTATCTATTATGTTTCTATTAGGGTTGTGATATTTTCCCTATTATAAAAGCATATCAAACTATTTCACGTATAAAGAAAAGTAATTAATTTTTTGTTAATTAACTAATTTTGTGATGTGTCACTTAATAGAGTCTCCCTGTGTTTTTAACAGTTTTTCAGTTTTGATATTCTAGGTTTTCTAAACACACAATCACATTAACTTCCAACAATGCAAATGTTTCTTCATCCCTGCCAATATTCACAGTGTTTATTTCTTTGTCTTGTCTAATTATATTAGTATTTCCAAAACAATGGTGAATAGTGTGGTGACTATAAACATCTTTGACGTTTTCCTGATTCTAACAGAAATGCTTCTAGGAATAGCATCCTTAAAACATGATGCGGGCTTTTGGTTTGAAATCATGTATTTATGGATAGGTTATATATATATTAATTCAAGAATCTATCCTTGATGTCTATTTCTGTGCTACCTTGACTACTTTTTTATAACAAAAAATGCATGTTGAATTGTGCAGGTGCCTTTTAGCATCTATTGTTCTCTCCTTTGATGGGTCAATCATGGTAATAAGATTTTTTACATTGAACTAGTCTTTCATTCCTTAGACCTAGTTGGCAGCCTACTCTTCTTTTCTTCTACTGTGGATTTATTTTTCATTTATTTATTTATTTATTTATTTTCTTTTTTGAGACCGGGTCTCCCATTGTTGCCCTGGCTCGAGTGTACTACTGAATTCTTTATTTAGAATTCCACATGGCTATTCATATGTGAGATGAATCTATAATTTTCTTCTTTTCCTTTGGTGCCATCTTTGTTATTTTGGGGTAGCAATGCTATGATAGTTTCTTAAAAGTGATTTGGAAGTGTTCCTCTTCCTCTATGCTCTAAAAAGCTTAAATAGTACCAGAATAATCTGTTTCTTGAGGATTTAAAAGAATTCACCTGTGATACTCCGGATTTGGTGCTTTTTCCCTCCAATTTTCAATTTTTCTCAAAGTTGTTGGTCTGTGCCAGTAATTTTTACCTTGAAATCTTCCATAGTATCTACATTTTCACATTTCTTGCCCTAGAGTTTTGCAAACTACTCTTTTATGATTCTGCTGAATCTGTGGCTATTTCCCCCTTTTTCATTTGTAATTTTGTGTATTTCTACAGGTCACTTTCTGTCTCAAACTAATGAGTGGTTTAGCTATTGTCTTTTGGTTGTTTTTTTTTAATTGGAGAAAAAGCATATAAATATATTAACATATATACAAATAGAATCACAGAGTGATTACTCACCCTCCAAGGGGGTTTAGAACCTTCTATACCATCTTGAGGTTATGTTATGGAAAGTTCAGCCCTTACCCCTGAGGCTGTATCAGAAGAACGAGGACAAATGGTTTGAGGAGAAGGAAAGAGGAATTTATTAATTTGCTGGCAAAGAGGAGATTGGCAGACTCCCATCTCAAAGTACCAATGTCCTCTGTTTTTTGTTTGTTTATTCAAATAATTTACTCTCAAATTTATTAGCCCTATAAAATGTTTCACCTTGGCTGTTTCCTTGTGCTCTCATTAGGTTTACTTTGTTCTGGTGATGGTGGTGGGTTTTATTTATTTCTTTTCATTAATATCTCATTACCGTTGGTGTGAACTGGTAGTGTAGTTTTTTCTCTGGACATAGCCTTCGCTATATCTCTTTCATTTTGAATTGTAGGGCTTTCACTATGTAGGCATTCTGCAATTTTAATTTTGATTTTCGTATGACCTGAGAGCTATAAAAAAGGGGGTGGAGTGAGCTTTTAATTTACCAGGTAATGCTTATTCCATTTATGTTATTATGTGTAGTTTGATTGCTTTGAAATCAGAGACTATTTTAATGCTATTTCTGCCTTTTAGAAGCCATTAAGATGTTCTTAATGCTTAATAGATAGTCAAGGTTTATAATCCTTGAACAGGCACTATAAAATTGTGTTATCCGGTTATGGAGTCTGATGGACCTATAGAATCAACTCTATTAACCATATTTTTCAGATCCTCTGTGAATCTCTACTTACTTTTTGGTCAACTTGACAGTGATTTACTTGGGCTGACAAAAAATGAAATAAGTCTCTGGCTGCTGGGTGTTTCTGTCAATTTCCCCTTGAATTCCCTGGGGCTTGTTTTACGACTGTTAATGCTATGCTATTTGCCGCATGAAGATTTATGACAGTTATAATCTTGCTGTAGCTTGTATCCTTTCTCACTATAAACTGTCTCACCTTTTTAAAAAACACTTTCTGACTGTAAAACAACAAAATAACAAAAAGCTAGTATATAACTAAAATTGTGATCCCAGCTTTCTTTCTGTTAGCATTTGGCTGTATAGCTCCTTTCCTTTTACTTTTAAACCTCTCTAGGTCATTTTCTACAGTAACCATCTTTGTACGGAACATGTAATTGGGACTGGATTTTCAACCCAATCTGAGAAACTTTTTCTTTCCGTAGGGGAGTACATCACACTTACATTTACTGGCATAACAGATAACTTTATTCATGAGCCAGTCATTTGATTATATGCTATGATTTCTGTAGGAAGTCTGTAATCCATGGAGCCCCTGCAATTCCATGCAGGATTTTGCATATGTGTTCATCCACTCTAGAGAGAGGAAAGCCCACAACTTCATCAGATTCTCAATGGGGTTCCTGATCCCAAGACGTTAAGAACCCCTGCCTTACACCTTTCTCCCTGTGACGTACCACCAGGTCCTGCCATTGCTCTCCTAGTGACAGGACCCCTGGTATCCCTGGAGTCTTCCTCTGGCCCCACCTGCTTTGCCACTGGATTCTGACTTCACCGAGGACAAGCGGTTTCTAGCAAACCCTGGACTCCTATACACAACAGCTCTTTGGAAACAGTTTCGCAGAGAAAACTCAAGACTCACGAAGCCTCTGATCTGTTGCCTCTGGCTCTGCTGTGGCGGCCTTGCTTTCACTTACCCACAGGTCCTGTAACTGAACACGATGAAGCTTTCCTCATCGGTCCTTTCTATGAAGGTCACACAGGTGTGCTTCTCCCAGTGCCTCATAGCCTGCTTAAAAATGGCCCTCTGGCTTCCTGAAACAACAGAACAAACGCTGGTCACTTCCATACTTTCCTTAGATGCTTTATGCTGGCTTAAGACAAAGCTTGTTCCGACGATCAAGAAAAGCTTGTTAATAATATTGTCTTCTTTACTCGAAATGTGATGAGAGCAGATTTTGTGGCCTTACCTGTCCCCAGGCACAAAAAGTGACAACCATGGGTGGTGACGAATATGCTAATCAATTTGATTGTGGTGATCATGACATAATATATCAAATCATCACATTGTACACCTTGAATATATATGCTTTTTATTTGCCTATTAAACATGTTTAAAAAAATTTTTTAAAGCTTCGTCTGGTGACTCAGAATAGAAACGTGGTAGGAATAAGGATTTCCCTTGCTAAAAATATAACATAACTTTCCTGAATTGTCAAAACCTAGAGAGTAAGAGTTTGTGGATTGGAAGGGAGGGTAAAAAATAGATTTTCTAAATACCCTGGGCTTCCCAACTTTTCCTTTGCATTAAAAGTGTTTTCTACTTTTTAAAAAACCATGCCCAGGTTAATCAGTTTGGAAATTGTAGGCTATTGAAGTAGCGGGTGTCAGCTCACCAGGCCTGCATCTCATCCCCCACATTCTTTTAGCCCTGGAGGACGGTCCTCCACACACCCTAAACATTCTGTTTGTACGGACGTCTGGGTACTTTGCATGGGGTTGCAGTGTCTGCTGGGAGATCCTTGAGCCCAATGTCCTATAAGGCCTCTGAAAGCAGGTGAATGTCACACTTCTCTGAACCTGTCCTCCTATTTCCTTGAATGGAAATCCGTTGAGTTTCTCCAGTCTGATGGCTACATATAGCCAGAAAGTTCTTTTCAAAATCTATCAATCTGACAGAAAGAGGACTATTTTAATTTTGCTAGAAGCAATGAGAAAGACTTAGAAAAAACAGTTGCCCGGGAAGTACGCAGGATTGTGGGGCGTGTGGGGGGGGTCTCAGTTCTAGGGGGCTCTCGTTGCAAAACAAAAAACAACAACAACAAAAACAGCACCCATACTAGTCTAGAGTGATGTGGTATCATCTTGTTGTTCCCAAAAACACACATAAAGAATAAAGAGTAACTCGGCTGTTATTTTTTTTTTCTAACATCTTGACACTTTTGGTTCAAACTGTTTGTAGCTCAGTCACTCACTGAAATAGCAATCCAACATATTACAGAATAACATAAATCTCTGGGTCAACAAAAGTCTAATATATAAAATGAGTTCACTTTGACGAAGGTAATATAAATTCTTGGTCAGGAAAGCACACTGGATCTGAAAGAACACGGCTAAAATAGCAAAGAACCAAAGTTCATAGCGGATTATAATCCCTCTGTTTCAATTCTTTAAGTGCCCACCTTCCTGTGCTATGAGAATACAGTGCCTTGGGGGCAGGAGGAAGTATGGGGCCCCTAATTAGTGTCTGGCAGGAGGAAGCCCTGGCTTCCTGCCACGGAGCGAAGGGAACCGCAGGACCGAGGAAGGGGCTGGAGGAGCCCGGGCTCTCCCAGGCTCCAGGTCCTCGGTCCAGGTCTCTCATTTCCTTCACTAACTGACTCATCAGTGTCTTTCTGTGGCTTTGGCAAGTCCTTAGGGCATCTCCCTTCATCAGCCATCTCTTGCAGAGGAAGTCACAGAGCCACAGGGGGGGGAAGGACTTACAAATGGCCCGAGAGCCTGGGAAAGTCACCCAGCGAGGACCCTCGCTCAGGCATTCAACTGGCACTGGTCTCACCTGCGTGCCTAGTGCATGCCAGGCCCTGTTGGAGGTGCTGGAGACATAGGAGGGAAACAAAACAGAAAAAAGACCCCTGTTCCCACAGAGCTCCGGCAGAGACAAAAAAAGGAAAGAAACTTCAGGCAATGACAAGTGCTGTAAGGGTTATAAAGCAGGTGTCAGGACAGATGGGAGCCGGCGGGGCAGTGGGGCGTCAGCGGAGGCCTTTCTGTGACGTGTCCCCTAACGTGACACTCGAATGCTGAGAAGCAGCGGCCAGGCCAAGATCTGGGAGAGACATTCTAGGCCAGGGGTCCTCAAACTTTTTAAACAGGGGGCCAGTTCACTGTCCCTCAGACCGTTGGAGGGCTGGACTATAGTTTAAAAAAAACTATGAGGCCGGGCGTGGTGGCTCACGCTTGTAATCCTAGCACTCTGGGAGGCCGAGGCAGGCGGATTGCTCAAGGTTAGGAGTTCAAAACCAGCCTGAGCGAGACCCTGTCTCTACTATAAAAATAGAAAGAAATTAATTGGCCAACTAATATATATATATAAAATTAGCCGGGCATGGTGGCGCGTGCCTGTAGTCCCAGCTACTCAGGAGGCTGAGGCAGGAGGATTGCTTGAGCCCAGGAGTTTGAGGTTGCTGTGAGCTAGGCTGACGCCACGGCACTCACTCTAGCCTGGGCAACAAAAGCGAGACTCTGTCTCAAAAAAAAAAAAAAAAAAAAAAAAACTATGAACCAATTCCTATGCACACTGCACATATCTTATTTTGAAGTAAAAAAACAGTCAGACAAAAACACCCGCATGTGGCCCATGGGCCGTAGTTTGAGGACGCCTGTCTAGGCAGACATGACAAGTGCAAGTGCAGGGCACTAAGGGGGCGGGGAGGGGGCATGTTGGCACAGAGCTGGGCTGGGGAGGCCAGAGTGCAGGGACGGAGGGGAGAAGGGACAGGGCAGGAGAGGCAGAGAGGCAGGCAAAGGCTGGAGGGGGTGCCTCACAGACCACTGTCAGGAGTTTCAGTTTCACTCCAGTAGCAAATAATGTCTAATTGCTGTGAGTCAGGCACTATTCAAAGTGCTTTATCTATAGTAATTCATTTCATTTCCAAAATAACTGGATAGGGTAGAAAATATTATCATCCCCATTCATAGGGGAGGAAACTCAGGCACAGAGAGGGAAGTAATTTTCCCAGGGCATCCTGCTGGTAGTGCCGGAGCCAAGATTTGGGCCCAGGACCCCTCTGGTCACCAGGTGGTGCACTGCTGGGGGTGGAGGCAGAGACCCCGAGTCCAGGGCGCTCATTCCGGCAGAGGACAGGAGAGCCACCATGAGCAGCTGCTCACGCAATTCCCTCTGTCTGGAGGGCTTGTCCTCACACCCCCATTGTGCAAACCCTGTCTGTCCTTCAAGACGGGGCACAGGTCACTCCCAACAAGAAGCTCAGGAAGAAGGTGACCAGCTTGGAGGACGTAGCCCCAACAGAGACTGCCGTTTCCTGAGGCCTGGGGGACCAGGCCTCGGGGACACAAGGGAGCACAGAAGGCCTACTGTGGTCCCTGGCATCTCTCCATCTTGTTGGCGGGGCTGCCCGCACCTTTCCGGTCACCTCTGGGATAGTAGCTGTCACGACAGGGCAGATGAGAAGGGCTGCTCGCCTTCTTTACCGCTCTGTGACGAAATGCACGGGTTGTGCAGATACGCTGCGTAGCCACGCCCATCACTAGGTCTTATTTTCGGGGTAGGGCTTATATTGTGCAAATGCTTAGAAATCCTGCTAGGGCTTATTTTATGGGTAGGTCTTATTTTCGGGGAAACATGGTAGAGAGGCAAAGCCCCAGCCCCACAGCAGGCCTTGTCTGGGGCTACTGACCCGTGAAGTTCCCTCCAATGACGTAGGGGATGACTCCTCCGGGCCATATCCTCTCTGTCCTTGAGGTCGTGGCTCTTCGGACCCGGGGAGAGGACCTGGCTGTAGCACTCAAGGTCTCAGGGCCGTGCAGAAGTGTGGCATTCTCCTTGCCATCTGCAAGACAGTTAGGTTACCATTAATTTGCCCTTTGACGACTCCTGTGAATGACGGTTAAGATTGCATTATCCACGATTCCCCAAAAGGAGTATTAAAATAAGTGTGCTAAAGTGGGTATAGGATCCGTTCAGGCTTTGGAACCCCTGGGGGGTAGTTTTCTAGACAGAAGGAAGAGTAAGTGTAGTGAGTGCACCACGCCTGTGATGGGAGTGGGGCTGGGTTGTCTGACACCTTGATAGAGGCCCCAGACTCCAGTGGCCCAGACAACTCACAGCCCTGTGGGGGCGGCCAAGGCCAGGTGCGCTTTCTGCTCACGGACACGCACATTTGGGGGAACAAGCTGAGTCAATCCCTTGCCTTGAACCACTTCTGTCAGTGTTGCAAATTTTGAAACAATTTGCCCAGTACAACAAAGATAGTGGACCAGTCTGTGACTCTGGAAACATAAATTCTTTGTAAGATAAACCTTGGAAAAAGCAGATCCTCATAAAACCCCCAGCTCTTCCCAGTCTGTCAGCACATCTGGACCCCGAAGACAGGAATATGGGAAACAAATGGAGGCTTGATTGAAGGTTCCGAGTCCAAGTGTTACAGCCCTGGAAACAGGGGAGGTGGGTGGTGGAACAGACGCTAAACCTGTGGCCACCACGTCCCAAATCCGCATTCATGCTGTTCATCAGTCAGACAATGTAAAGTTTTGCTTTCAGTCCACTTGCTTAAAATCCCTCATTATTCTCACTTGGAGCATTTTCTCTTTAGTTTTTATACTTTCCCCCTAAAAATCAGCTTTTAGTTTTGTTGATTCTTTTCTTTCTTACATTAATTTTATTTATTTTATTACTTCCTTCTATTTCATTTCTTTTAACATTTCCTTTCTAGCTTCTTCTCTTTTTTAAAGAAATAGAGATACAATTTATACACCATAATATCCCCCCTTTTAAAGTGTACAAATCAGTGGTTTTAGGTTATTAAGTATGAAATGTCCAATTTCCTTAAGTATTAAGTTTGACAGTTGATATCTCTAACATTTCACGTTGACACTTCTTGTTTTATTTTTATTATGAAGGTACATCCTCAGCATGTGCTAAGACATCAATTGTCTTTGCATCATTTGCTGAAAAGACTAGTTTTTCCCTCTGACATGCACGTTTTTAATGTTAGACATTGATATATACATAAGTTTCATTTAGACTTTTTTCTTTCAACTTTGCATTCTTTAGAAGTGTGATTTTTCATTTCTAAACATTTGTCTCTGTGTGTGTGTTACTGAATTCTAACATTTCAAGGTATTCTAAAACCCTGTTCTTCATAGCAGGGGTTGGCAGACCTTTTCTGTAAAAGGCCAAACAGTAAATATTTTAAGTTCTGTGGGTCACATATTCTTTGTTGCAACAACTCTGCCATTGTAGTGTGAAAGCAGTCATAGACAATATGTCAATAATGGGCATGCCTGTGTTCCAATAAAACTTTATTTTCAAAAACAGATGGCAGGATGGATTTGGTCTACTGACAGTAGATGGCTGGCCCTTTCTCCCAAGTATTAATTCTTTGGTATGTAGACCTTTCTTTGTAACCTAGTACAAGATAGCTTTTTATAAAAGTTACATGTGTCTTTGCAATAACATGTACTATCTAATTGATGAATTATATATGTTATACAAATATTCTATTTTACAAATATTTTTGGCTTCTGTGTGTATCAGTTACTGAGAAAAGTGCTTCAATCAACCTTCAGAACTAAGATTGTGAACTGTCATTGTTTTCTTTATCCTTAATATTTGCTCTAGATTATTCAAGGTCATGTTTGTTAAGTAATACAAGTTTAGGATTGTTAAGTGTTCAGATGAATTATTTCTTCTATCATTAATGATCTTCTTTCTAATAATAATAATGGTTATCCATACCAATGAACATTTTGTCTGATATTAATATTGCTATGTAATTTTTATTTTCATCAGTGTTTATCTCACATAGCTTTCTTCTATCCATTTATTTTTAATCTTTTTGTGTGATTTCTTTAGTGAATCATTCAACAGGTGTTATTCTCTGAGTTAATTACATTTCCCAGAACAAACAATAAAACAAGCTTTGCAATGATCATAATATTGAAGTTCACTATTTTTACTACATATGAAATAGCATTTTGTAAATTGAAATTTTTATTAGGGTAACTGCAGATTCACACCTAGTTGTAACAAATAGCACAGAGAGATTTCATATACCTTTACTCCATGACCTCCAATGGTAACATTTTGTGAAACTACAGTAAAATATCACATCTAGGATATGGACATTGATATAATTCATTGATTTCATTCAGTTATCCCAGCACTACTTGTACTCACGTGTGTGTGTGTGTGTGTGTGTGTGTGTGTGTGTGTGTGTGATTCCATGCAATTGTATCACACTTATAGGTTTGTGTATTCACTACCACATTCATGATACTGGCCAATCCCAGCACCACAAGGGTCCCTCATGTTGCTATTTTATAATCACATCCTCTCTTTCCCATTCCCTCCATTCATCCCCCAACTCTGGCAACCACTAATATGTTCTTTGTTTCTAAAATTTTGTCATTTGAAGAATATCATATAAATGGAATCATACAGCATATAACCTTTGGGGACTGGCTGTCCTCACTCAGCAAAATTACTGATAGATTCATCTAGGTCGTTGCATGTATGAACAGTTTCTTTTTATTGCTGAGTAGTAGTCCATGGTATGCAAGTCCCACAGTTTGGTTAACCATACACCTCTTGAAGGACATGTGAGTTGCTTCCTGCTATTACAAATAAAGCCATTATGTAATGTACATTCATGTACAGGTTTTTGTGTGAAGATTAATTTTCATTTCTCTGGGACAAATACCCAAGAGTGGGATTACTGGGTCATATAGTAATTGGGTCTACTTCTGGGTTATCTGGTCCATTGATCTATGTGTTTATCCCTCTGCCAATACCATGCTGTCTGGATCGCTGTAGCTAATGTAATATATAGTATGCCTTAATTAACATGGGCTAGAGTGATTATTCCCTTTAGTTTTATTTTTCATGATTGTTTTAACTATCTTTCCATATAAATTTTATGGTCTTTCCATACAAATTTTAGAGTAACCTTGTCTATGCCTGCAAACAAAAAACAAACAAAAAAAGCCATGCTGGGATGTTGATAGGAATTGCATTAACCCTATAGATCAATTGGGAGAGAACTTTATTATACTCAGTCTTCCAACCCATGGTCACAGTATGTCTCTCCATTTATTTAGGTCTTTGGGTTCTTTCATCAGCATTGTTTAATTTTCATCATACAAATCCTGTACACATTTTGTTACATATATATATATATATTTATATATACATATATATATATAAAGTGTTTCATTTTCTTTAGTGTGATTGTATTATAAATGGTATTATGCTTTTAATTTTAGTTTCTGAATATTCATTAGAATATAGAAATGTGAACAATTTTTATGTGTTGGTCTTGTATTCTGCCATTTTGCTGAATTCATTTATTGGTTCTAGAAGTTTTTTGGATTTTTTTTCCTTGTAGATTCCTTCAGATCTTCTATAGTAGATAAACATGTCATTTGTAAATATGGACAATTTTATTTTATTTTTTCCAATTTTATTTCTTCCTTTCCAATTTGTATACATTTTATTTATTTATTTATTTTGCTTGCTTCATCACAGTGTCTAAAACTTCTGGAACTATGTTGAGTAAGAATATGAGAGCAATCATCCTTTCCTTGTTCTAGATTTTAGGGGGTAGTCAGTTTTTCACTATTAACTATGATATAAACTGTAGAATTTTTTGGTAGATATTCTATATCAAATTAAAATAATTTCCCTCTATTTATAATTTGCTGAGTTTTTATTGTGAATAGGTATTAGATTTTGTTAAATGCTTTTTCTGCATCAATTTATGTGATCATAGATTTTTCTTTTTTAGATATGTTTGTTATATATGTGGGTTGATATAGATATGTGGTTTATATAGATTGATTTGCAAATGTTGATCCAGCCTCACATACCTGAAATAAATCCCACTGGGTTATGGTGTATAATTCTTTTTTATACATTGTTGGATTTTATTTGCTAATATTTTGTTGAGGATTTCTGCAAGTAAGTTTAATTAGGTTTTAGGTATGTCTCTTAAAAACAAAAAATAGCTGGGATTATTTTCTTGATGATCAACCAGAGACTCTCTCTTCTAACAGGTGAATTACATTTATTTTATAACTGATATACCTGAACTTATTTCTCTCCTTTTGTCTTGTGTTTTCTTTTTGCCTGTTTTACCTTCTTCTTTTTTTGTTCCTTTTCTGCTTTCTATTAGATTTTAAAAATTTCTATATTTACTTTTTATTTCCATTATTTTCTTTCTATTCTTTAGTATTGTCTTTAATTTTTAACACTCATACTTGACTTAACAAAATATAAAGAATTAGTGAGGCCATGTGCAGTGGCTCACACCTATAACCCTAGCACTTTGGGAAACCGAGATAGGAGGATCGCTTGAGGGCAGGAGTTGGAGACCAGCCTGAGCAAGAGTGAGAACCCATCTCTACAAAAAAATAGAAAAAAAAAATTAGACAGACATGTTGGTGAATGTCTGTAGTTCCAGCTACTCTGTAGGCTGAAACAGGAGGATACTTGATCCCAGGAGTTCGAGGTTGCAATAAACTATGAGGAGGCCACTGCACTTTAGCCTGGGTGACAGAGCAAGACCCTATCTCAAAAAAAAAAAAAAAAAGGAGTGAGCTAGAATAGAAGACAGATTAGAAAAAACCTAAATTCTCAGTCTCATTCTGAGAAACAAGACTTTTAAAATACTTTAATTTGCATATATAAAAAAGACCCTCCAATTTTTCACATTATTGTTTACTTGCTTTCAAACCCCAAATTAATTGCTATTATCTATCTATTTATTTGCAATAAGGATTTACATTTCCTTCATATTCACCCATTTCTTTCCTCACTGCTGTTTCTTACATC